GGACTACGGAAAGCTTTTGGTCACACTATCGTCCTCCGAGGAATTCAACAACGTCATCCTCACGGCTGAGCGGAAATGTCCTGTTTTGAATTTCAACCAAAACAGCGAAGTGATCGAAGACTTTTCAGGTACATTTTTGACTCTGTGGGCAAGAAAAATTACGCTTTTAAAAAGGGAATTTATGTACAGTCAATAAAGGGAGTTGATTGTACATAAGGACCTCAATTAACTTAGTGTCCTTATTAGCGAGAGTCTGTAATAGAGAGAGTTCATTTCAGTCAAACGTCAGTAACTTGTTTTCACCGGGGATTTAGCTGCTTCAGCATTATCGGGGTGTCCGTAATAGGTCTAATAGCGGGGTGTCCGCAAGGCAAGAGTTGATTGTATAAATTAATGTATGTATAATTTATGCATGTTTCAATAAATGTTTCACAAACGCTTTATATATTTTGTCATCAAAATGCACACCGATTTGAGATGAATTTTGAATTTTGCCACGAGGTCGTCCAGTTTTACTGAGTTCTTAGTTTCCTATTAAACATTTTCAAGAAAAACTTCACCTATTCTTTTGAGTTTGTTTCATAACTCATAATATTAGTTAAAAATACGCATCACTCATCTGCAAAGACGTCGGCGAATTTTATAGAATCTTTAAGTTAAATTCAGATTCAGTGGGCGCTTTTAGATAACGAAACTAAGGCACTTTGTTTTCAAATTTTCATGTTAATGGCGTCCAGGTTTTCGTTGGCCGCAATTCGGCTGGATGTAAAAGAACTTTATACCTATAGAAACTGATTTTTGGACGTAAAAAATACGTTTCTTCTGCATTAAATTTACAGAACGTTTCGCTCGTTTCATTTTAATTTGTGACAGCTTTGATGCTTTGACAGCTTTTGTCTTATTCAGACACTGAATTTAAAGCCAATCAATTGGCCCATTCTAAAAGGGACTGTTATTAGCTAATTCATGCGTGTTAAATGATGTGAGTGTAGAACATAATGATGACACATTCGTTCGCTTTGAAGAACAATTTGACTGTAAGCCGATCTTGCGAGCCTTCAGTCTCTTGGTTTGCGGTCTATAGAATGTGTAACGAAACTTTAACGCGATCAAAATAACCCATTTTTTCAGAGGTTTTAAACAGGTTTTGATGTTCTAACGACAAACACATCTCCTCTGGACCCTGTTTCTGAACGTGATGCCTCCTTTGGTATGGACTGATTAACTAAAACAACAACAACAACAACAGCAATGTCAAAACCCCGCTGAGGGCACATGATCTTTACCTGGTACGTTACACTGCTCCTGATTGGAGTTTGTCCAAGCATCCAATTATTTCCTTTATTTCCCTTTCTCTGCCAAAGCAGAGACATTGAAGAGAAGTTACCGGTGTAAATATAGACATTCAAAGTGCCAATGGATGCTCCTTTCATATGATGCCAGAACTTCAAGCATATACCAGTGCTGTTGGTTGGATCAAATGGCTGGCTGATGAGATATGCTTTGTCACCCACTCTACGTGGGGATGACGTCTCAATGAACACATAGCTGCCTGCAAAATGAAAATGGGGAGGAGTAAAAACCATACACACCAGGAGGAGGTACTAATCCAGCGGCCTCAGCTTCAGGGAAATCGGCAGTGTTAAATTTTAGCAACTATAAGACCTCGTTATCCGTCTCCTTTCTCCTCCTGATGTCTGTAGTTATTTTCCTTCTTTTTACGGTTATTTTTTATATTTCGTTATCTTTTAAACTCTCGTCATCGCATATATTTTGTTTTCCGAGTTTCTTTGTTTTCTCCTGTGAAGCTGATAAAGTGAAATAATCAATGGATGAAATAACGCAGCCTCAATTTTAGTGCACCCAAGGGAAGACAGCTGACATAAAAGCGTGCAAAACGACAATAACCAAAAATGTTGAGCACAAAGAAATGTCATCTTGAGAGTATTTGCCTTAAAAATGTACTGCTTGGCGCGGAACATGTTGTGAACCCAGCTGAATTGCAATGTCGTACATCAAATACCATTCACGAGAATGGAAAAAATATCTGTTGGTGAAATCTAGGGAAAATGGCCAAGTAAACTAAGCTTTCCCAGATTAAATGAAAAGGATTGCTTACTTCATGTAAAGCAACTGTTTTTTAAAAAAATTCTCTCTTTAGTACTTACCACCAGTTGAGTTTGTTGTGTGATCTGTGGAAGGGCCGGTGTAAGAACTTGGTGTGGAGCCACTCCCGCGAAGCCAATCAAAATCATCATTACTAGGCACATTGAGCCAAGTACACATGCCTGTCTCGAAGTTACAATCACCTGGAGGTGGGCATGCATTATCCATTAACTCTACATCGTCTATCGCTATGTCACCTCGATAACCAGACCCTCGTACTCCTTCAAATACCAGCCAATAATCAGAATTTGATGTAATTGTCACCTGCAAGAAGAGGAAGTGACATAAAAAATATAATTACTGGTGAAGAATAAACTTTGGCATAATACTTTTTATCCCAGATAAGAACTTACGTACAGAATACCTGTCTAATACTTATTTGCTCTCACTACTTTGGCATAATTCTCCACCCATTCGCCGTTGATACCAAACGTTTTTACAAAAGCTGATATATTATGTTGTCTGGCGGGCCCGTTAACTCCCTGGCACAATTTTCCAAAAAAGTTATAACGTGATGAAAAAAAGATTTGGTTGTGGTTGGGAGAAGCAGAACCGCTGGCAAATGGAATGTTATCCTACACAATTCGCGCCCTTTGTCTGGACCAGCTAATAGTAACTTAGTTAACCGAGAATGACCACCCTTCACTGAAAATTTCAGAATCATTGCACGTCAATGACTAAAACGCGCTTGGCTACCACAAGGCTGCGGGAATTTTTCCCAAGGTAAAAAAATTGTAAAAGTTGGTGAAACCGGATGATAATTTTTACAGGGTTTTTCGTGGGGTTCGATTTACTAGCCGCACCAGTTGCAACTCGCCCTGACTTGTTGCAGCAGCGTTAACTTACAATCAACCAAAGCGACGATCTTTCTCCCTACGAAAACCCACTCGAGATTTTGAGGAAAAATGTTTTTCTCTGCCATAACTATAAGTTGTAATTTACGGAAAAATGTGCCGCCTAACATCATAATTATACCAGGAGCTCTAATGCAAAATTAAGAGCAAAAAGGTTGGATAATCCATGCAGTCTCTGAGGGGTATAACGCAACTGTCATTGATCCTCATTTTGTTTGTCGCTGAATTAGCTTTCCCCACAAGCAAGATTTTTGAAACCCGTTACAAGGTTTTTTGAAACAACAGAATGAAATCTATGGGCAGCCATATTAAATTTGATTCATTTCCAACAACCTTGCCTTAGAAAAACAGTAGAAAAAGGGACAGTGAGTTAAAGATTAATCTTTGCCTACAATGTCCTTTGAGGAGATGGTTAAAAGTTCTGTCCCGAAATAAAATTGATTGAAACGGTTGCTACAGTGACAGCCCAATGTACCAAGCCATACCACCACCTCCATACTTGTCCAGGTGAATCAAAGGCGAGAGTGTCTACTGTTTATTAATTATTACGTGAATGTCGTGTTGTTAAACAGGGGCCATTCCATACTACAAATCAGTATTCATGCCTTTTGGCCAAAAAGAATTCCAGGACATTTCAAGGACTTTCGGTTTCAAGGACACAATTCAAGGACTCCAGGCTTGGCAAAATGAAGGCAACTATATTTTGCAATTATGTGCTGCAATAATTCTACCAGCGACACTTAACGTCATATTAATCTCTTGAAAAATTTGGGTTGAATACACTGAGCAAAGAATTTCAAGGAGGTCCTGGGACCAACTGAATAGGAATTTTTTTCAGGCTTATGAATCTTTAATTTGAAATTCAAGGGAATTCAGGTACTTTCAAGACATCATCATCAATGATGAAGACCTTACGCTACAACAGTTAAAGAGCAAACTAAAACCATCCATGAACCATCCTAATATGGCAACCCTAATACGCCCAAATCTTTGTGACCTGTTTCTGGTCGTAGAACAGCATTCCGCTTACGAATGCTTTTTCGATTTCTGATTTAACAATGTTCATATAATTTTTCTTCTGAGTAAAGAGTAAAACATGTTTATAGCCACAACAATACTTATCTCTTACATAACGCCTTTCACGTTTTAATTGTTTTATAGATGTCTTTGACTGTCGGGAAAAAAAGTGAACTTCTCCTGTTTCTAGTATTCTTTTACATAAACCACTGCTATTTTTTAATGTTGGTATGCTTTGCTCTTTTAATGGACGTGAGCTCATCCGTGACAAAATCATTTCTGTTGTTGTCTTTAACTTTCAAGATATCTTTGTGTACCTGAGCAATCCACCAGCGATTTCCATTTTCGCCTGATATAGACCACATCAAAAAGGATGTGGGTTTTCCTCGAACCATGCGCTTTATTCGAACATTGAGGGTCCCTACGTGGCTTCCATACATGTGGTACCAGAACTGAAGGCATTTTCCTTTTGTTGATGGATATTTGGGGCTCATCAGAATTGCCTTGTCTCCTGGCTTTCTTGGAAATGAGGTTTCAATATACATGTAATAACCTTTCGCTGTTCCATAGGTGTGATCATTTGTAGGGCCAGTGCCGGAACTTGAAGTGGAGCCACTCTGGCGTGTCCAATCAAAGTCATCAGCACTAAAACATTAACAAGAAGCGGATACAAGGAAAGTAAGAAATTCAGTCATAAACGGACATCTTTATAACACAGACCAAAACTAAGTAAGTTCCTACGCCATTTTAGTCGCTTTCTGCTAATAGTTTTGTTTGCTGGCCTTTCAAAGCATCCCAGCTACTCCTTTCATCAGTCTGGATAACGATTCAGCAATCTGTTCATTTTTGCTAAAGAATTTCACTTTTGTATCAAAAACTACTGGTTCGGAGCTTGCGCGATAATATTAAATAATACTCTTAAACAGTACCCCAAGCTAGCACAAACAACATTTATCAATTAACCTTTTTTCATTTGTCCATCCACACATTTGAACATCTTCAAATGAGCAAGCTTTCAAGGCTTGGCAGAAACCATTTTTAATAACGATGTCATCAATTGCTATATCACCTCCAAAGTTCCTACCACGAACTCCTTCAAATACAACCTGAAGGGAAAATAAACAGTATTCATTAAGAAAGCTTCGATTTTTCCACGACAGCATGTAAGGTCATGTGACATCTAAAAACTAATTTGCTTGCTACCAAAAGCCTCAGAACGTGCAACAAAAGAAAATCTCTGACGTCAGAGGGTATTAGTGAGGTGACAGTGACGATAGTCCACTGTCAAAGTGACGAGGTCAACTATTGATTTATGCATGAATATTATGACTCCGTTTTCTCTGTTTTCTTCGGGACAGGTCACTAGGCGTTTAATGTAACATGGCCAATTCCATGGCACTGCAAATCCGTGTAAATGAAACTACAGTCAACTTCCGATAACTCGAACCTTCAAGGGAAATCGAAAAAAGTTCGAGTTATGGGGAGTTCGAGTTATCGGGAGCTCGAAGAAAATAGCCGAGAGTATGGTAAAAAACAGTTTTTACTGCACAGTGAACATTTTAATCACATTTAATTGTAGAAATGTCAGGTGAAAATTAAAAGATACTTCTAGATTATAAATCAGAACGTAAAGTAACAAAACATAGCCTAAATAGAGCATGCGTTTTACTGTCTTGAGAAGTAAAGCTGCTTCACGTTAGCCTGTGACAATCAACATCAGCCTCCACTAGTAAACTATACTCCTACAACACGTTAATAGGAAATCCAAAATTCTTTTTTTCGGACGCCAGTACACACCTTTTTTCCCGACCTTTTAAGGGCTCAAAACATCGTTCGAGTTATCGAGGGTAAAATTATATAGAAAATGACCTGACGGGAAACGAAAATTGGTTCGAGTTAGCGGGAGTTCGAGTTATCGAGGGTTCGAGCTACCGAGGGTAAAATTACAGTAAATGTATGACGGAAACCCAGGGGATATCGATTTTTGTTCGAGTTAGCGCGAGGCTTTAGTTAGCGAGTGTTCGAGTTATCGGTAGTCGACTGTATTTCAATTAGAAACTTGATTTCATTTTATTAATATTTGTTGTTTATTTCTTTTGCCAAAAATTGAATATTGCAAGTTTTACCTGAAAATTAGTGCTGCTATTAACTGTAACTACTGCCTCAAGCCACTTATTTCCATGAGTCCCTGCCTTTGACCACAGGAGGGTGTCATGAGAACCATTCCTTAGATACACGCTAAGAGTACTGATGTGTGCACCATACATGTGATACCAAAACGACAAACACTTTCCACCATAAGCAGTTGTGCCGGGGACAATTGAACTTATAAGCTTCGCTGTGTCATTTGGCTTTCTTGGGAAAGATGACTCAATGTATATGTACGATCCATTGGCTGAAAGTGTACAACAGAATGTTGTTAGAGCAGTAAAGATCATCCTGCACCGTAAAAGAATTTGGTTATCATAGTGGTATACCACTCTGATAAGGTGCTGTCGTTTCTTAAAGTTAAAAGCGTGGACAACAAAAAATATCTATAAATTATAAATGTGACAGACTGTTAAAGCAAAGACAGTACAGTTAAAATACAGTGCTAAGCAATAGGTTCTTATTCCAACTATCATGAATTAAGGATTTGAATTAAGCTCTTGGACGTCCCTGTAGAAGGAAGGAGGTGTGGTTTCATGGAAGAAGAAAAAGAAGTAAAGTTTTCAAGTTCTTATTTCCCCTAACAATTTAAGCCTGCAAAAAAATAAACCTCAACATATATCGTGTCTTTCACACGACTGAAACAATTTTGGGAGCCAGCTACTGCAGAATCAACTTTGAGTATGGGAGGAAAAGATCAGAAAACTAGCTAGTAACTTTCCATTAAACGGAAACGCATCAATAAGGGACTATATTGTACTAATGTATCTTTTTACATTTACAAGTAATTTTACTCACAAATGTAGCGCAAGAGAGGAGTGAAAGGTATCAAGATTTTTTTAAAAAACCTTTAAGAAGGATTGCTACAAGAGGTCAGGGTACACAGCAAATATAACATAACTTAGAGATCTCTGGAAATTGGACACCTCCCCACACTTATAGTTGTTTCTAATATATCTTTAGCTGTTTTCTTTATTTTTTTTATTATTTTTTTTTTCAGGTGGAAACCTCGCTATTAAAAGGTGACCTTACAGAGGGAAACAAAAGGCAATGTATGCTGTGCAAAAAAAATGTTGCCGTATTTACTGCCTTTAAGGTAATAAAAGTACCGACCCATCTATAAAGTAAATGCACTGAAAACAATCACTTACCAGTGCCTGTTGTGTGGTCCACAGAAGGTCCAGTTGAGGATGAAGGTGTTGAGCCCGATGTCCGAGTCCAGTCAAACTGATCGGTGTTGTCTTGAGTCCAGCTACAGAGATTTCTTTCGAATGTGCAGTTAAAACCCACACTTGCTATAGGGAAAATTTTGTTATCTTTATGAATTGTAATCATTCAGAAAGATACTGAATGTGCAGAAAAGCTGACCATATGTTACATTTTAGAGCATTTTAAATTTTCCTGACTTCCCCCAAGACTATTCCCTTGAAATTAGTCATTACATAATTGCATCTGACAGCAATAGTTATATATTAGCTGTTGTTACACTACAGACTTTTTACCTAGGTAAACTCGACTTGTTGACAGTTTACCTAGGGAAACTTGAATTTTTAAGTGTGACCGATTTTTCCCTAGGTAATTTACCTCGAGGAAATTTTATCGTCTGGGGCTTGGATATGTCTCGAAAACAATAGAGTTTCCCTTGAAAGCTACCCCAAAGCGATAGCTAGGGGAAAATGAAATACCTAGGTTGCTAGCCAATAGACGCTCATCGGCGAAGGTCTTGATGACAGAACCGGACATAGCTCACGTGCTAGAAGAAATTTTGGGGGCACGAGTCGTGTACGTCTTCGCATGTCTTCACCCTGCACATTGAATCGGCCTAAGAAATAACAGCGAGATAAAAAAAAAAGGTCTCTTTGATCAGCTACATCCCTGCACATCTTTAATTCTTGAATTTACACTCCAGAATCCGACTGTGCGTGAAAACCTTGGGAGCCGGTAGTGTGACCTTCCCAGAATTTTTTATTTAGGTAAAACAAAACCCGAGATAAATTTACCTCGGGAGATTTTTTGATGAATTTGCCCTAGGGAAATCGGTTTTACCTAGGTAAAAGTCCGCAGTGTGACCACAGCTATTGTTGTCATGTAAAAATGTCCCATAGTATCAGTTTAAGAATTGGATTGGTGATGTCAGCTGCTAGTAGTGCAAGTAGAGGCCTCCAGCCAAGACATGTCGTTAAGACTATGGGTTGCTTGTCTTGTGAGGCATGCTTGCTTTACGTGCGTACTTTAGTGGACAGCATCTTTTCCGCCGTGGTTAGAAAAATGTCTACCCGGTATGTCTGTCACTGATTTATTTAGTTTGACAAACCCTGTAATGGAAATGTGAATAAAGTGTTGTTGTTGTTGTTGTTGTTGTTGTTGGTGGTGGTGCCTTCGTATTTGGGAGCGATTTGTTCTATGTATGGTAAATTTTTCGTTCATTCATTCATAAATAAATCAATCAATCAAAGTCGATAAATATGGCAAATTGTTTTAACAAAATTCAATAAACAGAAATAGAAAGCGTGCTTAAAAATTTACAAACGATATTTCGGCTGGCCAGCCCAGCTTCCTTTTTAGAAAACATCAAAAACAATATCATGTCGTCAACATAAGTAAAACCGATAAGAGCCACTTACCAATAGTAGTTGGAGTTAAAGTTGTAGGAGCTGCAGTTGTCATTCCAGGTGGTAGAGCATCATACGGTTGAAGAGTGCAACTGCCTGCACCAACAGTGAATGATATGTCATCCAGGGCAATGTCCCCAGTATAGCTATTTCCACGAATTCCTTCAAACACAACCTGTTTAAAACCAAACACATCTATAAACAGAAATTAATACATAAAGTGTCTTGTCCTAGGACCTTGTTTTTGTGATGGAATCAAAGAAACGCATAGCATCATGTCCGGGCTTATTGAGACAATATGCTTCATCAATCACCTTTTATACAATTTAGTCAGTGATACATGCGCTGTGATGGGTCGTTGCCCATGATCTATTAGAGTTTAGACAATGTGGTGAATATTACGAGCGCTCTGGTTGGTGGTTGCATTCGATCTATTAGGTATAGAGTACACATGAAGGAAGACCCGTTTTCTTTGTTTCATCCATAATGGCGCGCGGTTTTAAAAAATGTTTGCGAGATTATTTCGGAAAAACGGAGAAACAAGGACGGAATTAAAGAGTTCTTGACGATTTGAAAATTTCTAAAGTAGTCGAAATTTCCTCAACAGTTGCAATCATTTATCATCGCTACGAGAGACGTGCAGTTTTGAAAATGTTTTCGCGATTGCTTTCAGCAAGTAGAGGTCTTAGAAACCTTTTGAAAGAAACTGTCTACAAGTAAGATAAAGAAACCGAAAATATCTGAGAAGCGTTGGTGACTTGGAAATGCCTAAACTGGGAAAAAAATCCTCCAACTTAACAGTCAAGCGGTGCGAAGTTAGCACGTCGGTTTTTTTCTTTCTGTTCATTGTATAAAACGAATAGATTCCTTGTTGCCGTGGGTCTGGTCATTAATAGATCACAGAAGACGTCATAACGTGCGTGGGGAAAAAAATATGGGTGACACACTCGCGGCTCGTGTGCCACTGTTTGGTTTTTACTATCATTTGACGACATCTGTGATCTACTGTTTTACACAACAGACGCACGGAATCATGGAATCTTTTTGTTAAACAAACAGATACATGTATAACGCACGACAACTTGTTTTCTTTGTTGTGTTCAATATGACGCGGTTTTGAAAGAGGTTGAAAAAGACATTTTCGGATTTAGCAAGTGAAGGCCACGAAAAAAAGTTTAGCGGAAGCTGGTTACAAATAAGAAAAGTGGAGAAACCGAGACAATAAGTGTTCTTGACGACTTGGAAATACCTCATTTGGAAGAATTCTTTATAAAATTTGCCATAGCTTGTCATCGAGACACGCAAATTTGGAAAAGATTTCGCGATTATTCTGTTCTCGATAAAAGGCGTTGAAAAACTTTCTGGATAAACTGTATGTAAGTAAGCTAACGAAGAAAAGAAGAAGGAGGGACGAAAAGTAGCTTTTGTAACTTGTAAAGTAGCACAAATCGATCATCGAACAGTCACGTGGTACGAGGCAGGTATATATATATATATATATATAGCTTCTTCCTCTCTCTTCACTGTACAATACTAATAGATTCCATTTTGTCATGAGCCTGGTCTGTAATAGATCACAGAAGACGTGAAAACGTGGTAAAACATCAGTGACACACTCGCCTGCTGCTCATGTGCCACTTCTTTGTTTTTACCACAATTAGACGACATCTGTGATCCAATACAGGGACAATGCTGTGAAGATCTGGTTAAAACAATGCAGGTATTCAGAGCTGCTATTATGTCCACAACGAATTCTGCGTAATTCACTCTTAATTTGATGCTATCTTTGATATGGATACTGGATGACTAATAAACAAAAAACAGCATAGAAGACCTGAAGGCAAATTGTCTTTACCTGGTAGTTTACAATGCTTCTTATTGGAGTTTGCCCAAGCATCCAATTATTTCCTTTATTCCCCTTTCTCTGCCAAAGCAGAGACATTGAAGAGAAGTCACCGTTGTAAATATAGACATTCAAAGCGCCAATGGATGCTCCTTTCATATGATGCCAGAACTTCAAGCATATACCAGTGCTGTTGGTTGGATCAAATGGCTGGCTGATGAGATATGCTTTGTCACCCACTTTAAGTGGGGACGATGTTTCAATGAACACATAGGTGCCTGCAAAATAAAAATGGGATGAAGTAAAAATCATACACACCATGAGGAGGTTCTAATCCAGCGGCCTCAGCTTCAGCTAAATCGGCAGTGTTAAATTTTAGCAACTAAAAGACCTCGTTAGTATCCGTCTCCTTTCTCCTCCTGATGTACCGTATTTATTGCAATAAGCGCCCAACTTCGAATTAGCGCCCATCTCGAATAAGCACCCACCCTAAAGGCAGAAAACGAATTGAAAAAGGACTAATAAGAGACTTCCAGAAAACGGAGTTTTCTTCAGAGTATTTTACAGAAACCTTGCATCTTCGTGTTTTGTTATCACCATTTATTGTTTTGTTGCAATAAACATACTACACTTGCTGAAAATGTTGAAAAATGCTGCTTTGTTTTTTTCCGGTGAAGCTGATAAAATGGAATAATCAATGGATGAAATAACGCAGTCTCAATTATATTACAGACCACGGGAGACATGTGACGTTAGAACGTGCAAAATGACAATAGCGTAGTGTGCCAATGACGTCAAAGTGACTAATTTGCAATTTTTGTCTGAGTTTTGTCGTTTTTCTCATTTTAATGACAAAAGACAGACAAACATGACATTTTAATAACAAAAGTCAGATAAAAGTGGGGAATTCGCTAATGTGAATTTCAATTTGGGTCCATAAATAATAACTGCGCGCAGCGCTATTAACGGAAAATGTTGAGCACAAAAAATTGTCATCTTAAGAGTATTTGCCTTAAAAATGTACTGCTTGGCGCGGAACATGTTGTGAACCCAGCTGAATTTCAATGTCGTACATCAAATACCATTCACGAGAATGGAAAAAATATCTGTTGGTGAAATCTAGGGAAAAGGGCCAAGTAAACTAAGCTTTCCCAGATTAAATGAAAAGGATTGCTTACTTCAAGTAAAGCAACTGTTTTAAAAGTAATTCTCACTTAAGCACTTACCACCAGATGAGTTTGTTGTGTGATCGGTGGAAGGGCCAGTGTAAGAACTTGGTGTGGAGCCACTCCCGCGAAGCCAGTCAAAATCATCATTATTAGGCACATTGAGCCAAGTACACATGCCTTTCTCAAAGTTACAATCACCTGGAGGTGGGCATGAATTATCCAGTAACTGTACATCGTCTATGGCTATGTCACCTCGATAACCGGACCCTCGTACTCCTTCAAATACCAGCCAGTAATCAGAATTTGATGTGATTGTCACCTTCAAGAAGAGAAAGTGACATAAAAAATTAGAATTACTGGTGAAGAATAAACTTTGGCATAATCCTTTAAATTATCCCTTGAAAGAACTTACGTACAGAATACCTGTCTAATACTTATTTGCCCTCACTACTTTGGCATAATTCTCCACCCATTCACTGTTGATACCAAACGTTTTTACAAAAGCTGAAATATTATGTTGTCTGGCGGGCCTGTTACTTCCCTTGCACAGTTTTCCAAAAAACTTATAACGTGATGAAAAAAAGATATTGGTTGTGGTTGGGAGAAGTAGAACCGCTTGCAAATGGAATGTTACCTACACAATTCGCACCCTCTGTCTGGACCAGCTAGTAGTGAATTAATTGACCGAGAATGACCACCCTTCACTCAAAATTTCTGAACAATTGCACGTCAATGACTAAATAGCGCTTGGCTACCACAAGGCTAAAATAAATCTTAAAAGGTGCTGAAACCGGATGGTTTTTTTTTGTGAGGTTTGATGTACTAGCTGCACCAGTTGCAACTCGCCCTGACTTGTTGCAGCAGCGTTAACTCACAATCAACCAAAGTAAAGATTTATCTCCCTACGAAAACCCACTTGAGATTTTCAGGTAGAATGTTTTTCCCCTCCATAACTATAAGTCGTATTTACAGAAAAATGTGCCGGCTAATATCATAATTATCCCAGAGCTCCAATGCAAAATTGAGAGAAAAAGAAGTTGGGAATCCATGCAGTCTCTGAGGGGTATAACGCAACTGTCATTGATCCTCATTTCGTTTGTCGCTAAATTAGCTTTCCCCACAAGCAAGATTTTTGAAACCCGTTACAAGGTTTTTTTGAAACAACAGAATTAAATCTATGCAGGGCAGCCATATTAAATTTGATTCATGTCCAACAACCTTGTCTTAGAAAAACAGTAGAAAAAGGGACAGTGAGTTAAAGATTAATCTTTGCCTACAATGTCCTTTGAGGAGATGGTTAAAAGTTCTGTCCCCAAATAAAATTGATTGAAACGGGTTTTACATTGACAGCCCAATGTACCAAGCCATACCATCACCTCCATACTTGTCCAGGTGAGTCAAAGGCGAGAGTGTCCACTGTTTATTAATTATTACGTGAATGCCATGTTCATAAACAGGGGCCATTCCATACTACAAATCAGTATTCATGCCTTTTGGCGAAAAAGAATTCCAGGACATTTCAAGGACTTTCGGTTTCAATGACAGAATTCAAGGACTCCAGGCTGTGCAAAATGACGGCAACTATTTTTTACAATTATGTGCTGCAATAATTCTACCAGCGACACTTAACGTCATATTAATCTCTTCAAAAATTTGGGTTGAATAAACTGAGCAAAGAATTTCAAGGAGGTCCTGGGACCAACTGCAATTTATAGGAATTTTCAGGCTTATGAATCTTTAGTTTGAAATTCAAGGGAATTCAGGTACTTTCAAGACATCATCATCAATGATGAAGACCTTACCGTACTATAGTTAAAGAGCAAACTAAAACCACCTATGAACCATGCTAATATGGCAACCCTAATACGCCCAAATCTTTGTGACCTGTTTCTGGTCGTAGAACAGGATTCCGGTTACGAATGCTTTTTCGATTTCTGATTTAACAATATTCTTGTAATTTTCCTTCTGAGTAAAGAGTAAAACATGTCTATAGCCACAGCAATACTTATCTCTTACGTAAAGCCTTTCATGTTTTAATTGTCTTATAGAAGTCTTTGACTGTCGGGAAAAAAAGTGAACTTCTTCCGTTTCTAGTATTCTTTTACAGAAACCACTTTTATTTCTTAATGTTGGTATGCTTTGCTCTTATAATGGACGTGAACACATCCGTGACAAAATCATTTCTGTTGTCGTCTTTAACTTTCAAGATATCTTTGTGTACCTGAGCAATCCACCAGCGATTTCCATTTTCGCCTGATCTAGACCACATCAAAAAGGATGTGGGTTTTCCTCGAACCATGCGCTTTATTCGAACATTGAGGGTCCCTATGTGGCTTCCATACATGTGGTACCAGAACTGAAGGCATTTTCCTTTTGTTGATGGATATTTGGGGCTCATCAGAATTGCCTTGTCTCCTGGCTTTCTTGGAAATGATGTTTCAATGTACATGTAATAACCTTTCGCAGTTCCATAGGTGTGATCATTTGTAGGGCCAGTGCCGGAACTTGAAGTGGAGCCACTCTGGCGTGTCCAATCAAAGTCATCAGCACTAAAACATTAACAAGAGCGGTTACAAGGTTTAAAAGGAAAGTAAGAAATCTAGCTATAAACGGACATCTTTATAACACAGACCAAAACTAAGTAAGTTCCTACGCCATTTAAGTCGCTTTCTGCTAATAGTTTTGTTTGCTGGCCTTTCAAAGCATCCAGCTACTCCTTTCATCAGTCTGGATAACAATTCAGCAATCTGTTCATTTTTGCTAAAGAATTTCACTTTTCTATCAAAAACTACTGGTTCGGAGCTTGCGCGATAATATTAAATAATACCCTTAAACAGTAACCCAAGCTAGCACAAACAACATTTATCAATTAACCTTTTTTCATTTGTCCATCCGCACATTTGAACATCTTCAAATGAGCAAGCTTTCAAGGCTTGGCAGAAACCATTTTTAATAACGATGTCATCAATTGCTATATCACCTCGAAAGCTCATACCACGAACTCCTTCAAATACAACCTGAAGGGAAAATAAACAGTATTCTTTAAGAAAGCTTCGATTTTTCCAGAACAGCGTGTAAGGTCATGTGACATCTAAAAACTAATTTGCTTGCTACCAAAAGCCTCAGAACGCGCAACAAAAGAAAATCTCTGGCGTCAGAGGGCCCGTGAGGTGACAGTGACGATAGTGCACTGTGAAAGTGACGAGGTCAACTATTGATTTATGCATGAATATTATGACTCTGTTTTCTCTGTTTTCTTCGGGACAAGTCACTAGGCGTTTAATGTAACATGGCCAATTCCATGGCACTGCAAGTCCGTGTAAATGAAACTATTTCAATTAGAAACTTGATTTCATTTTATTACTATTTGTTGTTTATTTCTTTTGCCAAAAATTGAAAATTGCAAGTTTTACCTGAAAATTAGTGCTGCTATTAACTGTAACTACTGCCTCAAGCCACTTATTTCCATGAGTCCCTGCCTTTGACCACAGGAGGGTGTCATGAGAACCATTCCTTAGATACACGCTAAGAGTACTGATGTGTGCACCATACATGTGATACCAAAACGACAAACACTTTCCACCATAAGCAGTTGTGCCGGGGACAATTGAACTTATAAGCTTCGCTGTGTCATTTGGCTTTCTTGGGAAAGATGACTCAATATATATGTACGATCCATTTGCTGAAAGTGTGCAACAGAATGTTGTTAGAGCCGTAAAGATCATCCAGCACTGTAAAAGAATTTGGTTATCATAGTGGTATACCACTCTGATAAGGTGCTGTCGTTTCTTAAAGTTAAAAGCGTGGACAACAAAAAATATCTATAAATTATAAATGTGACAGACTGTTATAGCAAAGACAGTACAGTTAAAATACAGTGCTAAGCAATAGGTTCTTATTCCAACTATCATGAATTAAGGATTTGAATTAAGCTCTTGAACGATCCTGTAGAAGGAAGGAGGTGTGGTTTCATGGAAGAAGAAAAAGAAGTAAAGTTTTCAAGTCCTTATTTCTCCTAACAATTTAAACCTGGACAAATAAACCTCAACATATATCGTGCCTTTCACACGACTGAAACAACTTTGGGAGCCAGCTACTGCAGAATCAACTTTGAGTATGGGAGGAAAAGATCAGAAAACTAGCTAGCAACTTTCCATTAAACGGAAACGCATCAACAAGGGACTATATTGTACTCATGTATCTTTTTACATTTACAAGTAATTTTACTCACAAATGTAGCGCAAGAGAAGAGTGAAAGGTATCAAGATTTTTTTAAAAAACCTTTAAGAAGGATTGCTACAAGAGGTCAGGGTACACAGCAAATATAACATAACTTAGAGATCCCTGGAAATTGGACACCTTCCCACACTTATAGTTGTTTCTAACATTTCTTCAGCTGTTTTCTTTATTTTTATTATTGCTTTTTTTTTCAGTTGGAAACCTCGCTATTAAAAGGTGACCTTACAGAGGGAAACAAAAGGCAATGTCTGTTGTGCAATGTCTGTTACTGCCTTTAAGGTAATAAAAGTACCGACCCATCTATAAAGTAAATGCATTGAAAACAATCACTTACCAGTGCCTGTTGTGTGGTCCACAGAAGGCCCAGTTGAGGATGAAGGTGTTGAGCCCGATATTCGAGTCCAATCAAACTGATCGGTGTTGTCTTGAGTCCAGCTACAGAGATTTCTTTCGAATGTGCAGTTAAAACCCACACTTGCTATAGGGAAAATTTTGTTATCTTCATGAATTGTAATCATTCAGAAAGATACTGAATGTGCAGAAAAGCTGACCATATGTTACATTTTAGAGCATTTTAAATTTTCCTGCATTCCCCCAAGACTATTCCCTTGAAATTAGTCATTACATAATTGCATCTGACAGCAATAGTTATATATTAGCTGTTGTTACACTACAGACTTTTTACCTAGGTAAACTGGACTTGTTGACAGTTTACCTAGGGAAACTTGAATTTTTAAGTGTGACCGATTTTTCCCTAGGTAATTTACCTCCGGGAAATTTTATCGTCTGGGGCTTGGATATGTCTGCAGAACAATAGAGTTTCCCTTGAAAGCTACCCCAAAGCGATAGCTAGGGGAAAATGAAATACCTAGGTTGCTAGCCAATAGACGCTCATCGGCGAAGGTCTTGATGACAGAACCGGACATAGCTCACGTGCTAAAAGAAATTTTTGGGGCACGAGTCGTGTACGTCTTCGCATGTCTTCACCCTGCACATTGAATCGGCCTAAGAAATAACAGCAAGATAAAAAAAAGGTCTCTTTAATCGGCTACATCCCTGCACATCTTTAATTCTTGAATTTACACTCCAGAATCCGACTGTGCGTGAAAACCTTGGGAGCCGGTAGTGTGACCTTCCCAGAATTTTTTACCTAGGCAAAACAAAACCCGAGATAAATTTACCTCGGGAGATTTTTTGATGAATTTGCCCTAGGGAAATCGGTTTTACCTAGGTAAAAGTCCGTAGTGTGACCACAGCTATTGTTGTCATGTAAAAATGTCCCATAGTATCAGTTTAAGAATTGGATTGGTGATGTCAGCTGCTAGTAGTGCAAGTAGAGGCCTCCAGCCAAGACATGTCGTTAAGACTATGGGTTGCTTGTCTTGTGAGGCATGCTTGCTTTACGTGCGTACTTTAGTGGACAGCATCTTTTCCGCCGTGGTTAGAAAAATGTCTACCCGGTATGTCTGTCACTGATTTATTTAGTTTGACAAACCCTGTAATGGAAATGTGAATAAAGTGTTGTTGTTGTTGGTGGTGGTGGTGGTGGTGCCTTCGTATTTGGGAGCGATTTGTTCTATGTATGGTAAATTTTTCGTTCATTCATTCATAAATAAATCAATCAATCAAAGTCTGATAAATATGGCAAATTGTTTTAACAAAATTCAATAAACAGAAATAGAAAGCGTGCTTAAAAATTTACAAACGATATTTCGGCTGGCCAGCCCAGCTTCCTTTTTAGAAAATATCAAAAACAATATCATGTCGTCAACATAAGTAAAACTGATAAGAGCCACTTACCAATAGTAGTTGGAGTTAAAGTTGTAGGAGCTGCAGTTGTCATTCCAGGTGGTAGAGCATCATACGGTTGAAGAGTGCAACTGCCTGCACCAACAGTGAATGATATGTCATCCAGGGCAATGTCCCCAGTATAGCTATTTCCACGAATTCCTTCAAACACAACCTGTTTAAAACCAAACACATCTATAAACAGAAATTAATACATAGAGTGTCTTGTCCAAGGACCTTGTTTTTGTGATGGAATCAAAGAAACGCATAGCATCATGTCCGGGCTTATTGAGACAATATGCTTCATCAATCACCTTTTATACAATTTAGTCAGTGATACATGCGCTGTGATGGGTCGTTGCCCATAATCTATTAGAGTTTATACAATGTGGTGAATACTACGAGCGCTCTGGTTGGTGGTTTCATTCGATCTATTAGGTATAGAGTACACGTGAACGAAGACCCGTTTTCTTTGTTTCATCCATAATGGCGCGCGGTTTTAAAAAATGTTTGCGAGATTATTTCGGAAAAACGGAGAAACAAGGACGGAATTAAAGAGTTCTTGACGATTTGAAAATTTCTAAACTGGTCGAAATTTCCTCAACAGTTGCAATCATTTATCATCGCTACGAGAGACTTGCAGTTTTGAAAATGTTTTCGCGATTGCTTTCAGCAAGTAGAGGACTTAGAAACCTTTTGAAAGAAACTGTCTACAAGTAAGATAAAGAAACCGAAAATATCTGAGAAGCGTTGGTGACTTGAAAATGCCTAAACTGGGAAAAAAATCCTCCAACTTAACAGTCAAGCGGTGCGAAGTTAGCACGTCGGTTTTTTTCTTTCTGTTCATTGTATAAAACGAATAGATTCCTTGTTGCCGTGGGTCTGGTCATTAATAGATCACAGAAGACGTCATAACGTGCGTGGGAAAAAAAATATGGGTGACACACCCGCGGCTCGTGTGCCACTGTTTGGTTTTTACTATCATTTGACAACATCTGTGATCTACTGTTTTACACAACAGACGCACGGAATCATGGAATCTTTTTGTTAAACAAACAGATACATGTATAACGCACGACAACTTGTTTTCTTTGTTGTGTTCAATATGACGCGGTTTTGAAAGAGGTTGAAAAAGACATTTTCGGATTTAGCAAGTGAAGGCCACGAAAAAAAGTTTAGCGGAAGCTGGTTACAAATAAGAAAAGTGGAGAAACCGAGACAATAAGTGTTCTTGACGACTTGGAAATACCTCATTTGGAAGAATTCTTTATAAAATTTGCCATAGCTTGTCAACGAGACACGCAAATTTGGAAAAGTTTTCGCGATTATTCTGTTCTCGGTAAAAGGCGTTGAAAAACTTTCCGGATAAACTGTATGTAAGTAAGATAAAGAAAAAAAGAAGAAGGAGGGACGAAAAGTAGCTTTTGTAACTTGTAAAGTAGCACAAATCGATCATCGAACAGTCACGTGGTACGAGGCAGGTATATATATTTATATATAGCTTCTTCCTCTCTCTTCACTGTACAATACTAATAGATTCCATTTTGCCATGAGCCTGGTCTGTAATAGATCACAGAAGACGTCAAAACGTGGTAAAACATCAGTGACACACTCGCCTGCAGCTCATGTGCCACTTCTTTGTTTTTACCACAATTAGACGACATCTGTGATCCAATACAGAACAGACGCACAGCAACATGTAATCCGGTTGAAAAAAGTGAAGATCTGGTTAAAACAATGAAGGTATTCAGAGCTGCTATTATGTCCACAACGAATTCTGCGTAATCCACTCTTCATTTGATGCCATCTTTGATATGGATACTGGATGACTAATAAACAAAAAACAGCATAGAAGACATGAAGGCATATTGTCTTTACCTGGTACTTTACAATGCTTCTTATTGGAGTTTGCCCAAGCATCCAATTATTTCCTTTATTCCCCTTTCTCTGCCAAAGCAAAGACATTGAAGAGAAGTTGCCGGTGTAAATATAGACATTCAAAGTGCCAATGGATGATCCTTTCATATGATGCCAGAACTTCAAGCATATACCAGTGCTGTTGGTGGGATCAAATGGCTGGCTGATGAGATATGCTTTGTCACCCACTTTACGTGGGGATGATGTCTCAATGAACACATAGCTGCCTGCAAAATGAAAATGGGATGGAGTAAAAATGATACACACCAAGAAAAGGTACTAATCCAGCGGCCTCAGCGTCAGCTAAATCGATCGGCAGTGTTAAATTTAGCAACTAGAAGAACTCGTTAGTATCCGTCTCCTTTCTCCTCCTGATGTACCGTATTTATTGCAATAAGCGCCCAACTTCGAATTAGCGCCCATCTCGAATAAGCACCCACCCTAAAGGCAGAAAACGAATTGAAAAAGTACTAATAAGAGACTTCCAGAAAACGGAGTTTTCTTCAGAGTATTTTACAGAAACCTTGCATCTTCGCGTTTTGTTATCACCATTTATTGTTTTGTTGCAATAAATATACTACACTTGCTGAAAATGTTGAAAAATGTTGCTTTGTTTTCTCCGGTGAAGCTGATAAAATGAAATAATCAATGGATGAAATAACGCAGTCTCAATTATAGTGCAGACCACGGGAGACATGTGACGTTAGAACGTGCAAAATGACAATAGCGTAGTGTGCCAATGACGTCAAAGTGACTAATTTGCAATTTTTGTCGGAGACTTGTCATTTTTCTCGTTTTAATGACAAAAGACAGACAAACATGACATTTTAATAACAAAAGTCAGATAAAAGTGGGGAATTCGCTAATGTGAATTTCAATTTGGGTCCATAAATAATAACTGCGCGCAGCGCTATTAACGGAATATTTTGAGCACAAAGAATTGTCATCTTAAGAGTATTTGCCTTAAAAATGTACTGCTTGGCGCGGAACATGTTGTGAACCCAGCTGAATTTCAATGTCGTACATCAAATACCATTCACGAGAATGGAAAAAATATCTGTTGGTGAAATCTAGGGAAAAGGGCCAAGTAAACTAAGCTTTCCCAGATTAAATGAAAAGGGTTGCTTACTTCAAGTAAAGCAACTGTTTTAAAAGTAATTCTCACTTAAGTACTTACCACCAGATGAGTTTGTTGTGTGATCGGTGGAAGGGCCAGTGTAAGAACTTGGTGTGGAGCCACTCCCGCGAAGCCAGTCAAAATCATCAGTATTAGGCACATTGAGCCAAGTACACATGCCTTTCTCAAAGTTACAATCACCTGGAGGTGGGCATGCATTATCCAGTAACTCTACATCGTCTATGGCTATGTCACCTTGATAACCGGACCCTCCTACTCCTTCAAATACCAGCCAATAATCAGAATTTGATGTGACTGTCACCTGGAAGAAGAGGAAGTGACATCAAAAATTAGAATTACTGGTGAAGAATAAACTTTGGCATAATCCTTCAAATTATCCCTTGTAAGAACGTACGTACAGAATACCTGTCTAATACTTATTTGCCCTCACTACTTTGGCATAATTCTTCACACATTCACTGTTGATACCAAACGTTTTCACAAAAGCTGAAATATTATGTTGTCTGGCGGGCCTGATAATTCCCTTGCACAGTTTTCCAAAAAACTTATAACGTGATGAAAAAAAGATATTGGTTGTGGTTGGGAGAGGTAGAACCGCTTGCAAATGGAATGTTACCTACACAATTCGCACCCTCTGTCTGGACCAGTTAGTAGTAACTTAATTAACCGAGAATGACCCCCCTTCACTGAAAATTTCTGAACCATTGCACGTCAATGACTAAATAGCGCTTGGCTACCACAAGGCTACAGGAATTTTTTTTTAAGGTAAAAAAAATTGTAAAAGGTGCTGAAACCGGATGATTTTTACAGGGTTTTTTGTGAGGTTTGATGTACTAGCCGCACCAGTTGCAACTCGCCCTGACTTGTTGCAGCAGCGTTAACTTACAATCAACCAAAGCAAAGACTTATCTCCCTACGAAAACCCACTTGAGATTTTCAGGAAGAATGTTTTTCCCCTCCATAACTATAAGTCGTATTTACAGAAAAATGTGCCGGCTAATATTATAATTATACCAGGAGCTCCAATGCAAAATTGAGAGAAAAAGAAGTTGGGAATCCATGCAGTCTCTGAGGGGTATAACGCAACTGTCATTGATCCTCATTTTGTTTGTCACTGAATTAGCTTTCCCCACAAGCAAGATTTTTCAAACCCGTTACCAGGTTTTTTGAAACAACAGAATGAAATCTATGGGCAGCCATATTAAATTTGATTCATTTCCAACAACCTTGCCTTACAAAAACAGTAGAAAAAGGGACAGTGAGTTAAAGATTAATCTTTGCCTACAATGTCCTTTGAGGAGATTGTTAAAAGTTCTGTTCCAAAATAAAATCGATTGAAGCGGGTGCTACAGTGACAGCCCAATGTACCAAGCCATACCATCACCTCCATACTTGTCCAGGTGAGTCAAAGGCGAGAGTGTCCACTGTTTATTAATTATTACGTGAATGTCATGTTCATAAACAGGGGCCATTCCATACTACAAATCAGTATTCATGCCTTTTGGCGAAAAAGAATTCCAGGACATTTCAAGGACTTTCGGTTTTAATGACAGAATTCAAGGACTCCAGGCTGTGCAAAATGACGGCAACTATTTTTTACAATTATGTGCTGCAATAATTCTACCAGCGACAATTCAAGTCATATTAATCTCGTGAAAAATAAAATTTGGGTTGAATAAACTGAGCAAACAATTTCAAGGAGGTCCTGGGACCAACTGCAATTTATAGGAATTCTTAGGCTTATGACTCTTTAGTTTAAAATTCAAGGGAATTCAGGTACTTTAAAGACATCATCATCAATGATGAAGACCTTACCGTACTATAGTTAAAGAGCAAACTTAAACCAGCTATGAACCACCTTAATATGGCAACCCTAATACGCCCAAATCTTTGTTACCTGTTTCTGGTCGTAGAACAGGATTCCGCCTACGAATGCTTTTTCGATTTCTGATTTAACAATATTCATGTAATTTTCCTTCTGAGTAAAGAGTAAAACATGTTTATAGCCACAGCAGTACTTATCTCTTACATAACGCCTTTCATGTTTTAATTGTGTTATAGAAGTCCCTCCTTTTTTTACAGAAACCACTGCTATTTCCTAATGTTGGTATGCTTTGCTCTTTTAATGGACGTGAACACATCCGTGACAAAATCATTTCTGTTGTTGTCTTTAACTTTCAAGATATCTTTGTGTACCTGAGTAATCCACCAGCGATTTCCATTTTCGCCTGATTTAGACCACATCAAAAAGGATGTGGGTTTTCCTCGAACCATGCGCTTTATTCGAACATTGAGGGTCCCTATGTGGCTTCCATACATGTGGTACCAGAACTGAAGGCATTTTCCTTTTGTTGATGGATATTTGGGGCTCATCAGAATTGCCTTGTCTCCTGGCTTTCTTGGAAATGATGTTTCAATGTACATGTAATAACCTTTCGCAGTTCCATAGGTGTGATCATTTGTAGGGCCAGTGCCGGAACTTGAAGTGGAGCCACTCTGGCGTGTCCAATCAAAGTCATCAGCACTAAAACATTAACAAGAGCGGATACAAGGTTTAAAAGGAAAGTAAGAAATTTAGCCATAAACGGACATCTTTATAACACAGACCAAAACTAAGTAAGTTCCTACGCCATTTTAGTCGCTTTCTGCTAATAGTTTTGTTTGCTGGCCTTTCAAAGCATCCAGCTACTCCTTTCATCAGTCTGGATAGCAATTCAGCAATCTGTTCATTTTTGCTAAAGAATTTCACTTTTGTATCAAAAACTACTGGTTCGGAGCTTGCGCGATAATATTAAATAATACCCTTAAACAGTACCCCAAGCTAGCACAAACAACATTTATCAATTAACCTTTTTTCATTTGTCCATCCGCACATTTGAACATCTTCAAATGAGCAAGCTTTCAAGGCTTGGCAGAAACCATTTTTAATAACGATGTCATCAATTGCTATATCACCTCGAAAGCTCCTACCACGAACTCCTTCAAATACAACCTGAAGGGAAAATAAACAGTATTCTTTAAGAAAGCTTCGATTTTTCCAGAACAGCGTGTAAGGTCATGTGACATCTAAAAACTAATTTGCTTGCTACCAAAAGCCTCAGCACGGGCAACAAAAGAAAATCTCTGACGTCAGAGTGAGGTGACGGTGACGATAGTCCACTGTCAAAGTGACGAGGTCAACTATTGATTAATGCATGAATATTATGACTCCGTTTTCTCTGTTTTCTTCGGCACAGGTCACTAGACGTTTAATATAACATGGCCAATTCCATAGCACTGCAAGTCCGTGTAAATGAAACTATTTCAATTAGAAACTTGACTCATTTTATTATTATTTGTTGTTTATTTTTTTTGCCAAAAATTGAAAATTGCAAGTTTTACCTGAAAATTAGTGCTGCTATTAACTGTAACTACTGCCTCAAGCCACTTATTTCCATGAGTCCCTGCCTTTGACCACAGGAGGGTGTCATGAGAACCATTCCTTAGATACACACTAAGAGTACTGATGTGTGCACCATACATGTGATACCAAAACGACAAACACTTTCCACCATAAGCAGTTGTGCCGGGGACAATTGAACTTATAAGCTTCGCTGTGTCATTTGGCTTTCTTGGGAAAGATGACTCAATGTATATGTACGATCCATTTGCTGAAAGTGTAAAACAGAATGTTGTTAGAGCAATAAAGATCATCCAGCACCGTAAAAGAATTTGGTTATCATAGTGGTATACCATTCTGATAAGGTGCTGTCGTTTCTTAAAGTTAAAAGCGTGGACAACAAAAAATATCTATAAATTATAAATGTGACAGACTGTTATAGCAAAGACAGTACAGTTAAAATACAGTGCTAAGCAATAGGTTCTTATTTCAACTATCATGAATTAAGGATTTGAATTAAGCTCTTGAACGTCCCTGTAGAAGGAAGGAGGTGTGGTTTCATGGAAGAAGAAAAAGAAGTAAAGTTTTCAAGTCCTTATTTCTCCTAACAATTTAAACCTGGACAAAAATAAACCTCAACATATATCGTCCCTTTCACACGATTGAAACAACTTTGGGAGCCAGCTACTGCAGAATCAACTTTGAGTATGGGAAGAAAAGATCAGAAAACTAGCTAGCAACCTTACATTAAACGGAAACGCATCAATAAGGGACTAAATTGTACTCATGTATCTTTTTACATGTACAAGTAATTTTACTCACAAATGTAGCACAAGAGAAGAGTGAAAGGTATCAAGATTTTATTAAAAAAAAAAACCCTGAAGAAGGATTGCTACAAGAGGTCAGGGTACACAGCAAATATAACATAACTTAGAGATCTCTGGAAATTGGACACCTCCCCACACTTGTAGCTGTTTCTAACATTTCTTCAGCTGTTTTCTTTATTTTTATTATTATTTTTTTTTTTCAGGTGGAAACCTCGCTATTAAAAGGTGACCTTACAGAGGGAAACAAAAGGCAATGTATGCTGTGCAAAAAAAATGTTGCCTTTTTTACTGCCTTTAAGGTAATAAAAGTACCGACCTATCTATAAAGTAAATGCATTGAAAACAATCACTTACCAGTGCCTGTTGTGTGGTCCACAGAAGGTCCAGTTGAGGATGAAGGTGTTGAGCCCGATGTCCGAGTCCAATCAAACTGATCGGTGTTGTCTTGAGTCCAGCTACAGAGATTTCTTTCGAATGTGCAGTTAAAACCCACACTTGCTATAGAGAAATTTTTTTTATCTTCATGAATTGTAATCATCCAGAAAGATACTGAGTGGGCAGAAAAGTTGATCATCTGTTACATTTTAGAGCATTTTAAATTTTCCTGACTCCCCCCTAGACTATTCCCCTAAAATTAGTCATTACATAATTGCATCTGAGAAGCAATAGTTATATATTAGCTGTGGTTACAGTACAGATTTTTTACGCAGATAAACTGGACTTGTTGACAGTTTACCTAGGGAAACTTGATTTTTTAAGTGTGACCGATTTTCCCTAGGTAATTTACCTCGGGGAAATTTTATCGTCTGGGGCTTGGATATATCTCGAGAACAATAGAGTTTCCGCTGAAAGCTACCCCAAAGCGATAGCTAGGGGAAAATGAAATCCCCTAGGTTGCTAGCCAATAGACGATCATCGGCGAAGGTCTTGATGACAGAACCGGACATAGCTCACGCGGTGAAAGAAATTTTTGGGGCACGAGTCTTCGCCTGTCTTCACCTTGCACGTTGAATTGGCGTAAGAAATAACAGCGAGATAAAGGAAAAAAACGTCTCTTTGATCGGCTAGATCCCTGCACATCTTCTCTTCTTGAATTTACGCTCCAGAATTTGTCTACGCGTAAAAGCCTTGGGAGCCGGTAGTGTGACCTTCCCAGAATTTTTTACCCAGGTAAAACAAAACCCGAGCTAAATTTATCTCGGGAGATTTTTGATGAAATTGCCCTAGGGAAATCGGTTTTACCTAGGTAAAAGTCCGTATTGTGACCACAGCTCTTGTTGTCTTGTAAAAATATCCCATGGTATCAGTTTAAGAATTGGATTGGTGATTTCAGCTGCTAGTAGTGCAAGTAGAGGCCTTCAGCCAAGACATGTCGTTAAGACTACGGGCTGCTTGTCTTGTGAGGCATACTTGCTATACATGCGTACTTCAGTGGACAGCATCCTTTCCGGTGTAGTCAGAAAACTGTCCACCCGGTATGTCGGTTACTGATTTATCCTTCACTTTATTGGGTGCCTTCGTATTTGGGAGAGATTAGTTCTATGTATGGTAAATTTTTCGTTCATTCATTCATTCATAAATAAATCAATCAATCAAAGTCTGATAAATATGGCAAATTGTTTTAACAACATTCAATAAACAGAAATAGAAAGCGTGCTTAAAAGTTTCCAAACGATATTTCGGCTGGCCAGCCCAGCTTCCTTTTTAGAAAATATCAAAAACAATATCATTTCGTCAACATAAGTAAAACCGAGAAAAGCGACTTACCAATAGTAGTTGGAGTTGAAGTTGTAGGAGCTACAGTTGTCATTCCAGGTGGTAGAGCATCATACGGTTGAAGAGTGCAACTACCTGCACCAACAGTGAATGATATGTCATCCAGGGCAATGTCTCCAGTATGGCTATTTCCACGAATTCCTTCAAACACAACCTGTTTAAAACCAAACACATCTATAAAAAGAAATTAATACATAGAGTGTCTTGTCCTAGGACCTTGTTTTTGTGATGGAATCAAAGAAACGCATAGCATCATGTCCGGGCTCATTGAGGCGATATACTTCATCAATCACTTTTTTATACAATTTAGTCAGTGCTACATGCGCTGTGATGGGTCGTTGCCCATGATCTATTAGAGTTTATACAATGTGGTGAATACTCCGAGCGCTCTGATTGGTGTTTCATTCGATCTATTAGGTATAGAGTACACGTGAAAGAAGACCCGTTTTCTTTGTTTCATCCATAATGGCGCGCGGTTTTAAAAAATGTTTGCGAGATTATTTCGGAAAAACGGAGAACAAGGACCGAAAGAGTTCTTGACGATTTGAAAATGACTAAAGTGGTCGAAATTTCCTCAACAGTTGCAATCATTTATCATCGCTACGAGAGACTTGCAGTTTTGAAAATGTTTTTGCGATTGCTTTCAGCAAATAGAGGTCTTAGAAACCTTTTGAAAGAAACTGTCTACAAGTAGTATAAAGAAACCGAAAATATCTGAAAAGCGTTGGTGACTTGGAAATGCCTAAACTGGGGAAAAAATCCTCCAACTTAACAGTCAAGCGGTGCGAATTTAGCACGTTGTTTTTTCCTTTCTGTTCATTGTATAAAACGAATAGATTCCTTGTTGCCGTGGGTCTGGTCAGTAATAGATCACAGAAGACGTCATAACATGCGTGGGAAAAAAAATATGGGTGACACACCCGCGGCTCGTGTGCCACTGTTTGGTTTTTACTATCATTTGACGACATCTGTGATCTACTGTATTACACAAGAGACGCACGGAATCATGGAATCTTTTTGTTAAACAAACAGATACATGTATAACGCACGGCAACTTGTTTTCTTTGTTGTGTTCAATATGACGCGGTTTTGAAAGAGGTTGAAAGATATTTTCGGATTTAGCAAGTGAAGGCCACGAAAAAAAGTTTAGCGTAAGCTGTCTATAAATAAGAAAAGCGGAGAAACCGAGACAATAAAAGTTCTTAACGACTTGGAAATGCCGCATTTGGAAGAATTCTTTATAAAATTTGCCATAGCTTGTCATTGTAAATTTGGAAACGTTTTCGCGATTATTCTGCTTTCGGCAAAAGGCGTTGAAAAACCTTTCGGATAAACTGTATGTAAGTAAGATAAAGAAGAAAAGAAGAGGGAGGGACGAAAAGTAGCTTTTGTAACTTGTAAAGCGGCACAAATCGAACCTCGAACAGTCAAGTGGTACGAGGCAGGTATATATATATGTAGCTTTTTCCTCTCTCTTCACTGTACAATACTAATAGATTCCATGTTGCCATGAGCCTGGTCATTAATAGATCACAGAAGACGTCAAAACGTGGTGAAACATCAGTGACACACTCGCCTGCAGCTCATGTGCCACTTCTTTGTTTTTACCACAATTAGACGACATCTGTGATCTAATACAGAACCGAAGCACAGCAACATGGAATCTGTTTGTTAAAACAGACAATAATGTGAAGATCTGGTTAAAACAATGTAGGTGTTCAAAGCTGCTATTATGTTAACGTCCACAACGAATTCTGCGTAATCCATTCTTAATTTGATGCCATCTTTGATATGGATACTGGATGACTAATAAACAAAAAACAGCATAGAAGACCTGAAGGCATATTGTCTTTACCTGGTACTTTACAATGCTTCTTATTGGAGTTTGCCCAAGCATCCAATTATTTCCTTTATTCCCCTTTCTCTGCCAAAGCAGAGACATTGAAGAGAAATTACCGGTGTAAATATAGACATTCAAAGTGCCAATGGATGCTCCTTTCATATGATGCCAGAACTTCAAGCATATACCAGTGCTGTTGGTTGGATCAAATGTCTGGCTGATGAGATACGCTTTGTCACCCACTTTACGTGGGAATGACGTCTCAATGAACACATAGCTGCCTGCAAAATGAAAATTGGGGGGAATAAAAACGTACACATAAGGAGAAGGTACTAATCCAGTGGCCTCAGCTTCAGCTAAATCGGCAGTGTTTAGCTGTGTTTAATTTTAACAGCTATAAGACCTCGTTGGTATCCGTCTGCTTTCTCCTTCTGATGTATGTAGTTATTTTCGTTCTTTTTACGGTCAATATTGATATTTCGTAACCTTTTTAACTCTTGTTATGGCATATATTTTGTTTCCGAGTTGCTTTGTTTCTCCAGTGAAGCTGATATAGTGAAATAATCAATGGATGAAAAAACGCGGTCTCACTTACAGTGCAACTCAAGGGACACAGCTGACATTAAAGCATTGAAAACAACAACTGCCGGAAAATGAAAATGTTTAACACAAAGAAATGTCATCTTAGGAGTATTTGCCTTACAGCCAAAACTTGTCTAGCGTACCTCCCAAGATTCTATTAATGAATTGATTATTTGAAAAATAAATCCGTTAGTCGTCTCCGTAACTAGCGTCAAATTCAAATCGGAATTCCTGCATGCTTAATAAGCAGTCAATAATTTAGGAGAGCTTGTCTGTATTTGGTCAGATTGAAAATCTTTGAATGAATTAAAATTCTTAGAAGCCAAAGAAAGTAATCCTTCTCAGATTAAATGACAAAGATTGCTTACTACATGTAGAGCAACTGTTTTAAGAATAATTCTCACTCTATTACTTACCTCCAAATGAGTTTGTTGTGTGATCGGTGGAAGGGCCAGTGTAAGAACTTGGTGTGGAGCCACTCCTGCGAAGCCAGTCAAAATCATCATTATTAGGCACATTGAGCCAAGTACACATGCCTGCCTCGAAGTTACAACCACCTGGAGGTGGGCATGCATTATCCAGTAACTCTACATCGTCTATCGCTATGTCACCACGATAACCAGACCCTCGTATTCCTTCAAATACCAGCCAGTAGTCAGAACTTGATGTTATTGTGACCTGCAAGAAGAGTGAGTGACATCAAGCAGCGAGAACTAGTGTCGAAGAAGAAACTTTGATATAACAATATTCATCCCTTTAAGAGTTTAGCGTAAAAAAAAAATGTCTGATCAATACTAGTATTTTCTGGCCCGGGCACTTACAGCCCATTCACTATTAATACCAGGCGTTTTTTGAAATGGCTAAAATTTTATGTTGCCTGCTAGAGTATCCATCGTTACCAACTACGCCGTAACAATAATGGTATACTGTTAGAAAGACCTCGGCTAAGAACGAAGAAGACTTTGGGAGATCGCGCGTTATCGATGGCTGCCCCCTTTTTATGGAACAGTCTTCCTCTGCCAATAAGACAGGAAACATCAATCGACTCTTTTAAACGCTCTGTTAAAACATATTTATTTAAGAAGGCTTTTAGTTAGATTATTTATTTATTTATTTATTTATTTTTAAATATTGTAATTTTACCGGGTAATTTACTGGTTTTTAATTTAGTTATTAATAATATTGTAATGCGCTTTTGAGTATATTTTTATCGAAAAATCGCAATATAAGTATTAAATATTATTATTATTATTATTATTATCATTTACATCAAGTATCAATCGCGTCAAATTGCATTTTCGACGCCGTGCAATTCTTTAACATGCTGTTGCCTACGAACCACGAATTTTACCCCTATCATCAGCAAGTCATACCCTTTATACAATGAAGCGATGGAGTGTCTATGGGGGAACGCATCCTTATGGTCAAGGGGGTAATGGCGTAGGTGGCATGTTCCGCTCACTGTTTCGCACAGCATCACCTTTTTATAAAGAAAACAGCGAACAAAGTGGGGAAGCGAATGCTCAATACCAGATTGGAAACAGGAATGTAAATTGTGCAAGCTCTAAAAAAAGCAGCCAATTCGAGGTCGTCCTGTCCCGCCTAAAAAGTGGCCCGCGGGCCGAAAAGAGATTTTGCGGGGCATTCCGTCACCGATGTGAAATCACTTACGCCCTTCTTCTCGTTATAGCTTCAAAAACATCCTTGCCACAAGTACACACAAACGACGTAGACACCCAAATAAACAAGTTTTGCAATAGTTCTATATTCGGATGCGAAAGCGAGATAATACAATTTTATCGCTAGTCGACGATTTAGAGTAACGGCCTTTCGCATCGGTGTATCCGGACGAGCAATATCTTCGGAAATCTCCTGCAAAATATATTCAAAAGTTACACGGGTTTTTCTGAAGTTTTATATTACTACCATAAGTAAATCTTGCTTCAACCATGTCAAACCATGCAAAAGAGCAAGGATGTGTCCAAAGGTCTCTCAGTCAAGGAGGAGCTAAAAAAAGCCTGCAAAAAGCCGTACTGTCGGCGTTTAAGTACCTTAAAAAGTTGTTCAGATGGTGACCTAGTTTCGTTTCCTTCGTTTCGTTTTCTTCTTCGTGAGCTTAAAACCCATAAAATTGCTTTTTGTATTCGTGTATCCGCTATTTTTTTTTTACTACTACGACTTCAATGTTTTGTACAACCTGCGAAATATTATCCTGATCCTTTGCTGATCGCCTAGTGCGGGTGACGTTTGGCCAGAATTTTATGTCAAGGCCTCGGGAACTGCTGTAAAAATGCCTGATGGCTCAATATTTTAAGAGTGCTTTTCCTTTCAGGGGTACCTTCCCGAAATAAACATTGAAACAAATCGAACTCATTTTTGTCGTGTAAATGACGCAGGCCGTGCCCTAGATTTACGGCCCGCGTGCCAAAATTTAGGAGTGACGACCCCAAAATGATTGTCGTATAAATGGGGCTTAACTCACACATTAACACGAATTTCCACGCGCCACGCTCGTTTCTTGATCGCTTGAACGCGATCCCACGAACCGACTCCGTCGGGTCCAATTGCCCCTCAGCCCACTCACCCTCGGGTCCACACTCTGCTCGGACAAAAACGTTTCACGCCCTAAAAGTTACCTGTATAAGCCCATACCCCCCTACTGACATTTCAAGGAATTCCAATTTCAAGGACAATTCAAGGACTCCAGGCTGTGCAAAATCGAGGCAATGATATTCCCGTTAGATTCTGTTTTAAGATTTTGTGCTGCAATAATTTTGCCAGCACAAAGAACTTCAAGGAGGTTCTAGCACCAACTGAAGTTTATAGCAATTTGAAGCCTTTGAATCTTTATTTTGAAATAAAAATGAAATGTGGCATGGGAAACCTGACAATGCAAGTTCATCAATGATGACGACCTTACCCTAAAATGGTTAAAGAGCAAACTAAAACCACCCAAGTTTTTGTAACCTGTTTCTGGTCGTAGAACAAGGTTCCCTAATACGAATGCTTTCTTGATTACTGATCTAATTATATTCATGTAATTTTCCTCCTGAGCAGAGTAAGACATGTTTATAGCCACAACAATACCTGTCTCTTACTAATGCCTTTCATGTTTTAATTGTGTTATAGTGTCTTTGACTGTTGAAAGAAAAAGTGAACTTCTTCCCGTTTCTAGGTTTCTTTTTCAGAAACAACTGCTATTTTAATTGCTCTTATGATGGAAGTACGCACCTCTGTGACAAAATCATTCCTGTAGTTGTCTTTAACTTTCATTAAAAATTTCTTTGTGTACCTGAGCAATCCACCAGCGATTTCCATTATCGCCTGATTTAGACCACATCAAAATGTATGTAGGTTTTCCTCGAACCATGCGCTTTATCTGAACATTTAGGGTCCCTATGTGGCTTCCATACATGTGGTACCAGAACTGAAGGCATTTTCCTCTTGTTGATGAATATTTTGGGCTCGACAGCATTGCCTTGTCTCCTGGCCTTCTTGGAGAAGAGGTTTCAATATACATGTAATAACCTTTCGCTGTTCCATAGGTGTGATCATTTGTAGGGCCAGTGCCAGAACTTGATGTCGAGCCACTCTGGCGTGTCCAATCAAATTCGTCAGCACTAAAACATTATCAAGAAATTAAACGGACACCAGGTTTAAAACCAAAGTATAATTGAAAAAAAAAGACGTCAAATTTCCCTGAGCGGACACCTCTATAGGATGGACCAAAAGCAAGTGAGTTCCTGCTATTTTAGTGGTTTTCTTTTAATGGTGTTGTTTGCTGGCCTTTCGAATTAGAAAATACAAAGATACCCAGCTACTCCTTTTATTAGCTTTGTCAACGTTTCTGCTCAGTTTTGCTATCAAATTTTTATTTTGTAGCAAAAACTATTGGTTCGAGGCTTAAATAATACTCTTAAACAATACCGCAGGCTAACACAAACAACATTAATCAATTTACCTCTTTTCATTTGTCCATCCGCACATTTGAACATCTTCAAATGAGCAAGCTTTCAAGGCTGGGCAGAAACCATTTTTAATAACGATGTCATCGATTGCTATATCACCTCGAAAGCTCGAACCACGAACTCCCTCAAATACAACCTGAACAGAAAAAAAAAATTAATTTTTAAGAAAGCTTCAGTTCTTCCAGTACAGCGCGTGAGGTAAACTAATCTGTTTGCCCCCGAAAGCCTGATAACGCGAAAGAAAAAAAATCTGCGAAAATCTGTGACGTCAGGGGGTGACGGTTAGTGGACGGTGGCTGAATTGTACATGCATATCATGAATTCTCTTTCTCTGTTTTCATGGCCTATTCGTTGACACTGCAAGTCCGTGTAAATGACTTTTTTTTCTTGCCAAAAATTGCAAGTCTTACCTGAAAACGAGTCCTGCTATTGACTGTGACTACTGCCTGAAGCCACTTGTCTCCATGCGTTCCTGCCTTTGACCACAGAAGGGTGTCATGGGAACCACTTCTTAAATAGACACTAAGAGTACTGATGTGTGTTCCATACATGTGATACCAAAACGACAAACACTTTCCACCATAAGCAGTTGTGCCGGGGACAACTGAACTTATAAGCTTCGCTGTGTCATTTGGCTTTCTTGGGAAAGATGACTCTATGTATATATACCATCCACTTGCTGAAAGTGTACAACAGAATGTAGTTAGAGCTTTAAAGTTGATAATGAACCGTCAAACTGGTTTGTTAACATTGTGGTATTCCACTTCGATCAGGTGGTGACGTTTCTTAAGATCGCAAAAGATCGCGTTTCGTAGATCGCAAAAATAATATAAATGTGACAGACTGTTATAGCGAAGACAGTACAGTTAAAATATAGTGCTAACCCAAGAGGTTTTTGAATATTCTTCATGAATTTGACAGTCCTGGATCAAATGCTCTGCCAGGACTTGAATTAAGCTCTTGAACGTTCCTTATTTTCAAGTCCCCATTTTCCCCAACAAATGAAACCTTGACAAAAATAAAGCAGCAAGTATTGTGCTTTTCACACGATTGAAACAACTTTGAGGGTCAACTATTTTTGAAACCTTACCCTGAGCACAGCCCCATGCAGAATCAACTTTGAGTATGGGAGGGATAAAGTAGAAAACGAGTAACTTCACATTAGAGTAAAAGGCATCAATAAGGGTGTATTGTACTCACTGATAAATCACTATCCAGTGGAGAAGTATTAGGAAAACCAGTTGCGTTATCCATTGCATACAGGGCAATATCGTTTTTACGACATGAGAACAGCGAAAGGCAATACGTTCTTTATTTAAACCTTTAACAAGGATTGTTCAACGGGTCAAGGTACACAGCAAATAAATCATAACTTAGAGATCTCTATAATGAACACCTCCCTGATCGGCACCTAGAGTTGTTATTAAGAGGCAATGTCCCTAAAAGCGTTCCACTCGATTTCAGACTCCAAAACTCTTTTGGCTCATATTTATGTCATCAATACCACTATCCATCCTTATAACGAAAATGCAGTTAGAATGACGAAATAGTTTATTTTACTGCCATTATCAGCATTTCATCTCTGAACGACCGTTACCGGCTAAAATATGCAAATTTTAGACGCTGTTATTCAGGTTTTTAACGATCGTTAAAAGCTACTGCGGGCCGTTAAAACCTAGACCATTTGTACTCATTTGGAAGTATATTGCTTCTTCTTACTGTTCCAATACGATTTAGCCGTATTTCTCTGTAATCAGCAAAAACAGGTTATCGTTATTCTCGTAATTCAATTAAGTAAGCAAACTGCACCAAAATATGCTTCAGAAATTTCACAAAATTCTTAAAAGTGGCACCTAACCTAGACCTAAAAACATGTTTTAGTTAAAGATGAAGAGGTATTCTATCAATTTATGCAATAAAACTTGTGGCACAACGCGATTCAGACTTGAAGGTTTCGACTCAAATTTACATATTGATGCAGAATTCGCGTTGCGTGACACCGGCTGCTTCGACGGGAAATTTCTCCAAATACTTGCCGCTCGGAAGTAAAATATGTTTTTTTAACCGCAAAAAATTATTTTTCTTCCTCTTCTTCCTTTTTCAATAAATAGATCTTCAGAAATATAATTATTCCTAAAAGTTCAGCAGCCAAACCTTAATTTTTATTTACTAAATAAATCGTTTTAACGCTTTCATTGGAAGCATAGTCACAGGCGAGACTTTAGAAAGGTCATCGCATTTGCTTGTTGTAATATTTTGTTATAATTATTGATATTATTAAGCTTAAAAATAATAAAAAATGCCATTAAGCAACTTTTTTTGTACTTTATTTACAGGAAAACTGAACGGAAGTGTAAACCATTAAGTTTACTTACCTTTGCCACTAACCTTTGTTAGTCTCGCCCTTCCAAAAGTGCTTTATTCGGCATACAACAGTTGCGTTTTTAGGGAACATTTTTTTTACCGGTAAAATTAAGTATTAACATTTTACAGCGGGCAAGTCCTTCACGAATTGACCTTTACGCTGTATGGGACGAGAGTACACGGTAGTCCTTAAAGATAACTTGTCAAAATGGGGATTGGACTCCAAAAGCCGAGGAATCGAAAACCAGAATAGGGTGTCTATTCACGTCTAGTCCACATTTTAATTACATGTCTATGAATTCCCATCACGACTAAACTGATTGCTATTTTTGCTTGAAAACGGTGGAATGTGTACAGTCAATGTCTAGATACCTTAACTTAAGCAACTTTAGTAATAGTAGGTCATATAGTACATTATTAAGGCATGATGAATCAACCAACCACTAATCGCAAATATAATAGGCCGTGCTACACGTTGTCAGTAGCTTAAGTTCGATATATGAAAATTCTAGCATCAGTCATAATGGTCATATTTCAGTCTGTATTTGGTTTGTTATTCTATGTGCTTTCTCTTCTGGGAATTCCGAGACAGACTGGACAGTTGAAGATCGAGCCTTGAATTCTAGTTGGAATTTTGATTTCTCGAACTTTGGTTATTCCGTGATGGACAGTGAGTTAAGTGAGCTCGACAGTGTTCGATTGGCGGGTTTATAAGAAAACAATTAGATTATTTAAATATTTTATCGAATTAAGCGTCTCCGTTTCGTGTCATCGGGTAAAAGTCACATAACAAATACGAAAAAACTCAACATGCCAAAGAATTTTCGGAAAAAAAAAAATTAACTAAGACTTGCACAATAAAAGCTTAATTGATTCAGTTACAAGAAGAAATATTGTTGTCCCTTTTGTCTGATAAAAGGGACAGTAGACTCTATTCAGCAGTTGCATTCTTGGATAACCTCCGTTAACAACCTAATAAGGTCTGCCTTTCTATCTTTTGCTCGGAAAGGTACTTCAAAGTGCCGAAGAATAGTCTTGAGCATTGCAACATTGAAGGCCTGTAGCTTTCCTTCCTTGTGATAGGCGCAAAGATCATATGTGTCATATACTATCGGATGCTCTAGTCCAATTCTGCTTTGAATATCGTCAAGCAAATTGTTGCGATCAGAGTCTCCAATGAGGGCGTCGATGTCGTCATTCTCATCTGCTGTAATATCAAATGTCTGTTCCTTTGATATAGCATCCTGACCGCGAGTTCTCTGCCGTGAAGCGAGGCGTGAAAAAAACCCCATTATTTGAGTCTTGGTGAGCCACTCCTCTCTTTGAAACAATCTTTCATTCCGTTCATTTCTGGCGTTGCGCATTTGACGTTCGATCTCTTCTGGATTGGCTTTTTTGCCCGTTCTTTCTCCCATTTCAAACCTTGTTGTAAGGTACCGTCTCACGTTCTCAGAAAAACGAACTCCGCCAGTTCTACCTTTGTTAAGAGCCCATCCGATACTTAGACGAGAATTTGTGCTGTTAACAGTCAGACCAGTGGCGGATTTGTTGCTTGTTAACTTCTGGTTCTCAATAGAAGAAAATTTTTCAGCCCAGTTTTTCCGTACTTTATCATAAAGACTTTCCGACTTCCTGTTATCATGTATTCCTACGTCTGTATGCAACTCAAGTTCGGAGAAAGAGTCAAAAGTGCAATTACAGCCTTCTTCAGGGCACACAAACATCGATGGCTGATCATCAATTTCAACGTTGTCTTTCCTTGCTTGACACTTTCTTGGGCGATGAAGGTCTCTTATTTCTGTGTTGGTGAAGAATCCTTTTCCCTCCATTAATGATATATTTGTGCAGCCCTGGTGCCGTATGTACAAAGATTGCCAAGGGATAAGCTTGCCGACCCCAACAGCGTAAGCTTTCCACACTCTTATCCCACTCTCTTCGTATCTAAAGTTGTGTAACTCACTAAATTGTTTTATCTTCTGAACCTCAAGAATTTTGGATGACTCATCCAAAATGGATACAGCCGCTGTCGTTCCTTTGACAGGCCGTTCCTTAAGGGCCTCGTGCATTGCTCCTACGTTCATGATGTCATGGCCTTCCGCGCAATACTTTCTTATGGCTGCTTTCATGGGACAAAGCACCCTGTCACAAACATCCTTTCCTTGCTGGGGTTCTGAAAAATCATAACGTGCAACTGTAATTCCCACTCGATCTCCAATATCTTTGACTGCTGCTATTAGGTGATTGCAATGGTAGCAGCCAGCCTCGTCAGAACGTAGAAATGCATGCTTAACATTTGGAAAATTTATTTTGATGTTTTGAAAAAGGTTTTCTAAAATAGATACCACCGCATACCAATCTTGACAACACGAATCTAATAAATGGGCATACGATAGGACCTTAGCTTTCTGCGTTTCTTGGTCTTTTGAGATCACACTGCTTATATGCCAGCTAAGGCCTCTTTTAGCAAACCATTCACTTTGTTTTTCTCTGTATTTCATTTGAAGAAATTTCATCGCCCAGTCAATAACAACAAGGACTGACTGACTGTCAAGACTTTGGAGGGCTTCTTGTTTAGCAGATTCTTGGTTGACAGAGCGTAAGGCATGAGATTTCCAAAGAAAAATGCAGTTCTTAGATCTTTCAAAATCGTAAAGAAGATCATGCTTTTGTTCTTGGCTGTAAAGATGGCTGGAGTGTTTCTTTATACTTTCTTCCATCTCGTCTAACGTTGCCTTCAATTGTTCGCATTGTTCACACACCATATTGTGTGAGTGTGAGCACTGATGGTTGAAGCATGGATCAACTGGATCGCTTAACGCAAATTTTCTGCAGTGGTCTGCGCACTCACTCTCCTCTGCTGAACAGTTCACTTTAAACTCCGTCTTCAGGTATCTTTTCCCATCGTTCAATTTCTTTGCCAGTTCTGTAACTCTTCTTTTTTCGGCACCAGCCTGATTCAGCTCTTCTAGAATACTCAACAGCCGCTCAAAAGATGCGACCCCTTCTGCTGCAATGTTGTCCAGACCACTGAGAGACTTCTGCTGTGAAGCCTCTCTCACTTCAAGAATGCGACAAAGGGTTGAGCGGCTAGCCGGTTCAAATGATTCTTCTTCGCAATGTTGAAGGTACTGCATAATCATGGTCGATCTAGTCACGGTCCGGATTACGTTGGGCATTGTTATTTTGCCTCCCCCATCTAAGGTCAGTGTTCGCGTTCCAAAGGCGACGTCTTGGTAGAAATAAGGACGGTTTACAAAATCTATAAAGTGGTCGACTTTGTTTGTGTCCAGACGTACTCGATGGCTGAATACTTTCGGGACATTTGACCCCGGCCCTCGTTTCCTTGCATGCGATCTCGCCCTTTTTATTTGTCTCAAACTTATCTTTTCATAAGGCTCGTGGAATTTCTGTAACAGCTTCATGGTATACCGATAAGCGTAGATGCTGAGTATTTGAATCTTAACATTTTTTGTCATGGCATCTCGATATGCGGACATCAAGGCAATAAGATCCTCTGTTGGTTCATCAAGATCGTTCGCGGTAGGCTGGTGTATCGCTTGAAAAAGTTTTTCGCCGTCTTTCGGAGCTATAACACTGCAGATTACTTCACATGCTTTCGTTGCTTTCTCTATGCAAGTTTTTCTTTCATCCGGTATTGCTTCCTCCCATGTCGTGGACAGTTGGAATGTTAGTGGCGTGAGGTCTTCCCTTTTTGAATGTCTAGCTATTTTCGCCATTCCCTCGTTAAAATCAGCAACGACGTCATCGGATACTTCAGGAATTTCGTCTGTATGTATGTCTTCCTGCGAACTACCGCTACCAACCCCACTCCAACATCCAGGCGTCCAGTTAGCGCCTGCAAGCCTGTCCGTTTGTGGTGTCTCAGGCGCGAAAGTTTCTTTTAGCAGCCTGATAAAATAAAAGGCGTCTTTAAAATTTGTTTTGTTAACACTGCACTACAGTTCGCCAAGAGTTGGAAACAAAACATTTTGGCACTTTTGGAAAATGACATCTTAAGTAAACCGACATATGTTATGGACGCAATATTGCGTCACCCTTGATGAAGTGCTGCCTCTATTTAAAACCCCACCCCACCCCCCACCAATCCGAACATGACACTCTTCCTAAAACAGTGTGGGAAACTTATTTTTGTGCCTAGCACTGTTTTGTAGTTCGGAACGGCGAAAGTTAGCAAGCCCATTTTTTCTGCCAAAAGTAACCATTTTTTTTATAAATCTATGAGGATTTTTAAGTAAACGCCGCCCTCAAAATAATCGCATTCCGCAAATGAGCGCAGCAGTTGAGTCGCAAAATCGGAATGATATATGCCGCAGCGCGTAATTTAGTAAACCCGGTGTGTACCTTTGGTCCTGAACGGGCCAAATGCGGATCTTTCAGAAAAGTGTTTAGATATCCCAAGACCTTTAAGAAGTTTGTTCAGAGGTCAATTTTTTACATCATCAACACGGAGAATGGAGGCGTCTACAAGGAGAGGTAGATAGCCGCCAACAGCGATCGTTTACCTGTTTCTTAAGCCGTAAGCTGCAGCACTGTGATGCGGATCGCATTCTTCTTCCTTATCAGCATCTAACTTAAGCCATTTCCTACTTTTGTCCATCACTTCCTTATGTTTGCTTCTACACTTCCCACATATTGCTGAATAGAAAAGATTGAGTGAACTACTGAGTTCATCATGGTCTTGCAATTTTTATGACAACAGTAACAATTACAGTACTTCGTCATCATCATCGTCGTCGTCATTATCATTATCATCAAAAATTTTTCCCTTTTCCCTTTGTCTTCTCAAAGAAGAAAAACACTCATCTTGATAAAGAATTAAGTAATTAAATTACCGTAAAATTCCGAAAATAAGCCCCGCCAAATATAAGCCCCCCGGGGCTTGTACTTGGAAAATTGCCCTTAAATACAAAGTAAAACAAAGCAAAAACGGTAAATGTACTTCTATGGCTAGCCCAATCGATTTTGACACCCAAATTTTCCTCCGTATATAAGCCCCTCCAAAAATAAGCCCCTCAAAAACGGTCTTTGAAAAATATAATCCCCGGGGCTTATTTTCGGAATTTTACGGTATTGCTGGTTTGCACGTGACGTCACGGCGGCCATGTTGGTGGTCAAGAACAAAAGCATTTCTCTCCTCTGGGAACTAAAATCTATTTTCATGTAAATTCTTCGAGGAAATATTCTTTTGTTTTGACCCCCACCATGGCCGCCTCGTCACGTGGTATTTTTAATTCTTACGTGATCCTATTCCCACGGTGACTTTAAAAACCGACTGTATGTTCTTCGCAGTCTCCAAACCAATTACATGCCTTTCGTTACAATGTTTTTTTCTTGGTCCACTATGCGATGGATACTGGCAAGAACGAGGTGGCCGCCAAAATTTTCCGAGTTTATGCCGATGTTGTGGGCAAATTACCATCTGTTGTATTTGATCTTTCGTAAGGTCAAAATGACCGGCCCTTGACAGTATTAGTTCCGCTTCACTGAGTCCAGACTTTGATAGATGACAGGTTTCAAGCTGAGTCGTAATTGTGTCCTGACATTCATCTACTTTAACCATTTGAGACAAATTGCGCGAACTTCCACACGCTATTTTCTTAATTTGCCTAAAGCTGCACGATTCGAAATTCATGTTGAAGTTGTGGTATCAGCGCTGTAGTATTTGCGCGTGCCAACTTCGCTGCCAACTGGCTGGGTAAGTGGGTAGCGTTGGATCCCGGACTGTGGACCAAGGAGCGTGTGCAATATAGCTGACCACTCTCAATAGAAGAAACAGACAGCGACAGGACGAAACCATCTTATTGAAATTTCATTAGGAAAGGTCTTTAAATTAGATAAAGATGTGTGCTCCTGTTAAGTGATAATTAAATAAAGCAAAACTATTTATTCGCGGTCCGCATTCCAGTTCTTGTAGTTCTTGTCCAAAAGTTTCTGACCTGTTCGCGCATATTTAATAACGCTGTGGGAGATTTACTTTTTTAACATCTTACGTTCTTTTTAAAATGTGATGGAGATAAAGTCGTATCAAATACTGGGTAATGCAGCTGCTTCACACTGGACCACATTTTAAAGTAAAAGAGGTTTGTTTCTGAAAAGAAATTTGAAATCTGCATCTTGACAATTTAAAGAACACTGCACTTTAACACAAATGGTGGGATAACTGGGTATTTTATCAAGCTTAAAACTGCATCTTACGTACACCTGCGGAATTTTGGAACAACAGGTATCATTGAAGAAGGAAGAAGAGAGAGATAAATTAGTTTTTGGTTGGAAAATAGAAGACGTGGCAAATATTTGAATAACTGGACGAGAAATTTTTCTGTCAAAGCAGCCTGTGTCACGCAATGAAAATTCGGCATCAATATGCAAATTTGAATCGAAAACTTTAATTCTGAACCGCGTTGTGCCACAAGTTTTATTGCATAAATTGATAGAATACCTCTTTATCTTTAACTAAAACATGTTTTTAAGTCTCGGTTAGGTGCCACTTTTAAGAATTTTGTGAAATTTCTGAGGCATATTTTGGTGCAGTTTGCTTACTTAATTGAATTACTAGAACAACGATAACCTGTTTTTGCTGATTACAGAGAAATACGGCTAAATCGTATTGGAACAGTAAGAAGAAGCAATATACTTCCAAATGAGTACAAATGGTCTAGGTTTTAACGGCCCGCAGTAGCTTTTAACGATCCTTGAAAAACCTGAATAACAGCGTCTAAAATTTGCATATTTTAGCCGGTAACGGTCGTTCAGAGATGAAATGCTGATAATGGCAGTAAAATAAACTATTTCGTCATTCTAACTGCATTTTCGTTATAAGGATGGATAGTGGTATTGATGATATAAATATGAGGCAAAAGTGTTTTCGAGTCTGAAATCGAGTGGAACGCTTTTAGGGACATTGCCTCTTAACATTTCTGCTAGCTACTTTCTTTTGCTTTCTTCCAAGTGGATACATGGCTTTTAAAAGATAAAATTTAAGTTAGATTCAGTGCTCATTTTAAAGAGGGAGACAGAAGTGAAATAGCTCAGTCAATGTCTTATCTATTAGGTAGAATTACTACCTAAAATGGTAAAGTATCGATCCATGTATAAAGTAAATGCACTCAAAACAATCACTTACCAGTGCCTGTTGTGTGGTCCACAGAAGGTCCAGTTGAGGATGAAGGTGTTGATCCCGATGTCCGAGTCCAGTTAAACTGATCGGTGTTACCTTGAGTCCAACTACAGAGGCTGCTTTCGAAGGTGCAGTTAAAACCCACGCTTGCTGCAGAGAAATTTTTTTCTCTTCATGAATTGTCTAGTATTATGTTATTTAATCCTCTAGAAAGATACCAACAGAAAAGGCAGAAAATCTGCACAGCTGATTAGTTTTAGTCCATGTTAATGCTCCTGATTTTTAATATCCATCAACAAACAATAAATGTACTGCTTTAAGTGCTTTTGTTATGCTCCTTAGACTGTCCCATGAAATTATTAATTACGCAATTGCACCTGACAAACAATATTTGTATTTTGTTGCCATGTTAAAACATCCCACGATATCAAAAAAGAAAAACGGAATTAATGCACTGAAGTATAATACAAATCGAGGAGGACCAGTCTTCAGGACCAGTCTTCCCTTGCGGTCAGCACTAATTGCAGCTGTGCATGTGCCAGGACTCCAGTTGCTCGTCCTGCCAAAGGGCGTTGCAGCCTTTGGCGTGACAGTGTTGTGTTGAACTTGAAGCTCTTTTAAGCCATCCTCTCTCGTTCAGCGTTAAACACTAGTATTCTCATTTTCTACTTCAAATGTCTCACAGTTTCAGTTGGGCTGTTAGACTGACAACAGTTCACCCTGTATGTTGGATTCTAGCCAGCTGTCTTCCCCGGCTTCTTCCTATTTGGATGCGTAGAACGTCATTGACTCTACCAGTTATCGCAACTACCTCGCCCTCCTTTGTAATATCTGAGCAGTAACTTGTTCTCGCTTTGTCTTAAGCCTTAGGCAGCGCGTTGTCGTGAATCCAGGCGGCAACGTTGGAGTGTCTTTCATAAACGTCATGTGCATGCTTGTTGACGGGAATTTGGGTTATCGACAAAATAATTTCACCTTCGAGAATCTGCCACTTCCATACTTAGCAGGTTAATCTTTTGGTAATTTTACAACAAGACGTGGTGGACTGGTCGCTTATGTACCCATACCCTTACAATGCCCTGAACAAGCTCGAAAACAGTTAGCCAGTGCTGCCAATTTCTACTGTTCCTGGAATGTCGGCACATAGCGCTAGTCCTTTGATCAATGGCGCCTCAAAATTGAAAAACTTCTAAATCGTTCAAGCTAGGACCACCACATTTAGCGACTTTTCCTAAAATTTGTCTCGGCACATTTTAAAGTCGCCGTGACGTGTACGTCAACATTGATGTTACCATGACTACCGAAATTTGACAACCATGTTTTTCAAATTTTTCATTTTCTCTTCAAAGTAGGTTTTATTTCTTTTTTTAGTGATTGAATTATTCCATGAAACTTAATTTCGTATTATTTTATCAACCTTATTGTAACTTTTAATGAAATCCAGGCTTTTTAGTGACTAGTTTGAGAGAGAAAAAATAGAGTTTAATATGACCATATGACAGTTACTGAGTTAAATTTTCAACGGTGTTCATTTCACTCATACTTGGATTAACTTTTATGTATAAAATACCTCGAACTATGCGAGTTTTAAGTGAAATGGAATACATTTTAATAATTCCAAATGGCGGATCCAAGATGGCGAATGCTGCCACTTCCATTTTGTAACAATTGACGTCGTGATGACATCACTGCTATCATTTATGAGTTAGCCAACTTCCTTGATTTTATCAGAGACCTTACTATTTAAGAATTTTTCACTTTGTGTCTACTTTGCGGGAAATTTGGATTCTGCAAATAAATTCAACAGTATGACTTCATATTGCGTCATTGATTCAATCAAGTTGTGCAAAGAAGTTGTAAAATGATAAGTAAATTATTGTGTGTAATTTTGGTGGCAGTACGGGGTCCTCTCCCCCAACCCCCAGTCGTACGAAGCAAAAACGCCCGGTTTGAATATGGTTAATCGTTTTTTCAGCCTTTGGGCAAGATTACTGCCCAATCATGCTTGACTATGACTTCTGCCCAGACCAATGTTAATGGTGAGAATCTTTCCATTCTTGGGATGGTTTTAGATCTTTTTTTGTCTTCGCTTCAGTGGCTAACCCTAACAGAGTTTCCGGCCCTATCCGACTCACAGGTACACTCGGTTATGAGGTAATCTACAATAATGAAGGTTAGCGACTTACGCTGTCTAGAATCCATGGTGACTAGTAGCGTCAACTACATCAAGCGTTGGATGGCGCTCGCATAGTCTTCATTATAAAGCCTCGAAACGATCTGGTGTCACAGACAATACCTTTGGACCTGAAACTGTAACTCTTTAGGACAACGTGTCTATCCATTCTACTGCATGGCTGCGAAACGTGTATAATCACCAAAGAGATGGGTGCGAAACTAAATGCTTTTGTCACCTCATGCTATAAAATCATGTTGAACATCAAACGTCTGGAGAAAGTCTCAAATGACAGAACCTAAGATCTTACTGGCACTAGCCTGACAATTATCTAACTACTCATGTTGCGCAGGAAGAAAGACGAACCTGAAAAAATCTACATGTTGTATGAGCCCACCAAAGCGAGAAGACCCAGGGGACACCTTTCCCCCCCAAATCCAGGAATTGATAGACCACAACAACCATCTCGCCGAGGCTGACATCGTGTGAACTGCCCATGACCGAGCCAGTTGGAGAAGACTTAGAGTCGACAGCTCCTCAGTTGACCGATAATGTTAATGATGATGATGATGATGATGATTTTGGTGAGTAGTCATCCTCTCTGCAGCCTTAATGTTGTCGATCGCATATGAAAATTGTTCCTAGTGGTGTTTTCAGTCCATTTACGTATACGGGGCAACTTATGGGCCACTAAACATGTGGAGTGCAGTTCAGATAATATGGCGGTGGTCCGCGTGCTACGTTAGGGCATCTAGAAAGATTCAAACGTGATAATTCTTTTATTTAGCCTTTCCCTTTTTGCAGCCTGCCAGGTCCTTGCCGATATTGCCTCCTAGAGAGCTGGTAGAGACAATCCATTCCTGATGCAACTTGGACTTTGAGTGTTTTAATCAACATGCAGCACCTAGAGAAACCACATTATCGCCTTCTCTGCAACCCATCTTTAGAGGATTTGAAGGGAGAATGCTTCATGGGGATTAGGCGACACCAGCTGATGACGTAATGTATACGTAATGTGATGATGTAAGTTTAATTATCAAAAATTTTTTTATAAAACATTTCAAAAACAATGTCATGAGGACTATCAGAACAAAAAACTGCCACTCACGAATAGTGGTTGGGCTAAAGGAAGATGGAGTTGAAGCAGTAGGGCGTACGGTAGTCATTCCAGCTGGCAGAGCATCAGACGGTTGCACACTGCAGTTCGCCATACCAGCAGTAAATGATATATCATCCAGGGCAATATCGCCAGTGTAGGTATTTCCACGAATTCCTTCAAACACAACCTGTTTAAAACCAAATAAAGCTATAAAAAGAAATAAATACATACAGTGTCCGGGTCAATTGAGGTTTCTGGATAACTGCCCACCTACCCCTCCCCTAAAACACGATTTTGCCCTAAGTGAGAGGTAAGAGTTAATGTTGACTCAGGGGAGGGGTAGTTGGTCGGTTACCCAGAAACCCCAATTGATCCCAGTGTCCTTGCCCCCCAGGGCCTTGTTTGTGTGATGCAATCGAAGAATTAGTCACAATTTATACAATGCAATGCCCAATAAAGTTATTTAAAATACCACACATGAATTGTTATTGCGCAAGGATGTTGTTTATTGATGAAATCCAGGAATGGATAGCCTCGTGTTCGGACTGAAAAGCAATATGCGTCGTCTGTCACTTCACGAGGCATCATGAGACTGTCTTGTTGAAACAATACAGGGATTCAGATCTCTCAAACAAAACAAAACAAAACAAAAGAACAACAATGTCACAACCGTTACTGATGGCATAATATCTTTACCTGATACTCTATACTGCTTTTTATCGGAGTTTGTCCAAGCATCCAATTGTTTCCTTTATTTCCTTTCCTCTGCCAAAGCAGATACATGGAAGAGAAACTACCGCTGTAAATATAGACATTCAAAGTGCCAATCGATGCTCCTTTCATATGATGCCAGAACTTCAAGCATCTACCAGTGCTGTTGGTTGGATGAAATGGCTGGCTGATGAGATACGCAATATCACCCGGTTGACGTGGGGATGATGTCTCAATGAACACGTACTGGCCTGCAAAATGAAAATGGAGGGAATTAAAAAACAATACTCAACAGAAAAGCATACTAATTTGTGTTTAATCTTAGCAACTATAAAACATCTTTCATCACTACTTTCGAATATTGCTATGTAATAGTTTCATTCCGCTATCTCTTTCAATCCAATATTTTATGTTTAATTTCCTTGACTGATATGATCTCTAATATTATTTCATACCCTTTTGAAACTTATATCTAGCCCCACAGTAATCCTGTAAATTCTCTTCTATCTACTTCCTTTTATTTTGATTTAGGTAATGGTATTTGTTTTTATTTTTTACGTCGAGATGAAATGGTATGGGCAAACGAACGTCATGTTAGGAAAATATTTGTGTTGGAAATGTCCTGGTTGGGCTTAGAGCATAAACTGAACAACAACTGAGCTTACAATACGCTGTAATAAAGAAATAAAGAACATGTGTATCTTTTTGGGAACTTCAAGAAAAATGGCTAAGAGAAGGATGCTTTCCTAGATGAAGTGAAAAAGTTAGTTACTTAATATAAAGCAAGTGTTTTAAAATTCTCACTATAGCACTTACCTGCAGATGAGTTCGTTGAGTGATCGGTGGAAGGGCCAGTGTAAGAACTTGGTGTCGAGCCACTCCCACGGAGCCAATCAAAATCATCATTATTAGGCACATTGAGCCAAGTACACATGCCTGCCTCGAAATCACAATCACCTGGAGATGGGCATTCATTATCCAGTAACTCTACATCGTCTATGGCTATATCACCACGATAACTGGACCCTCGTACTCCTTCAAATACCAGCCAATAGTCAGAAATTGATGTAATTGTCACCTTCCAAAAAGAGAACATCAAATACTGTCAAATACTAAAGACCACAACATCGTTGTCAGGGATTTACTTGCAAAATGCGTGTTTAATACACTGTCACTGTAGTTGCCCTCAGTACAGGAACAATTTTCAAATACCTCAGCAAAGCATTCATGACCAATTTAGAACCAGGGCTAGTGTGTTAAAGATTATTATCCTCTATAATGTTCTTTAAGAAGCTAGTTGAATTCTGCCCGAGAATAGAATCGATTAAAACGGCTCTTTCAGGAACCCGACAATTGGCCCGAACACAACACCACCTCCCTTTAATGGCCACTTCCATTTGACTCGTGAAATGTCGTTTTTCTTTTTTTTTAATTTTAACGGAGGGCATTTCCGAATAAACAATAAGGACTAATTTCCTTTTGGCGACCAGAAATTCAAAATTTTTTATATTGCTTTCAAGGAGACAACCCTTACTTTTAAAGGCCTAAATGTCGTGAAAAATCAAGGCAATCAATAATAATCCTTTATATTTGTTTTTGAATATTTGGGTTTGCTAAAATTCGCGAGGCTGATGCTGTGATTGCGATTGAGAACTGTATTCGTGACGTTCGCGCATGGATGAGAGATGATAAGTTAATGCTAAATGATGATAAAACTGAGTTCTTGATCATTGGCAGGGAACGACAGTTATCAAAGGTGTCCGTTGACAAGATCAAGATCGGCCAAGCTGAGGTATCGCCTGCCTCTTCAGTGCGCAATTTGGGCACCTGGTTCGATTCTCATCTGGACATGTCGACTCATGTGACTAAGACTTGTGCTAGCGCGTTTTATTATTTGTACGATATCCGGCACATTAGGAAGTATTTGTCTCGTGAGTCCACCGAGAGGCTTGTTCACGCGTTCATCACAAGCAGGCTTGACTACTGTAATGGTTTATTGTACGGTGCTCCTGAGTATCAAATTAAGAAACTTCAAAGAGTCATGAATGCCAGTACTCGATTGGTTTACTGCGCACCTAAGTACTGTCACGTTACTCCTTTGCTAAGAGAACTCCACTGGCTACCAGTGCGCTTGCGCGTAGATTTTAAGATTCTCCTTGTTACATTTAAGATTCTTCAAGGTGTTGCGCCTAGCTATCTTAAGGATCTTGTCTCTGTCTTACCGGACTCACGTTACCAACTACGCCGTAACAATAATGGTATATTATTAGAAAGACCTCGGCTAAGAACGAAGAAGACTTTGGGAGATCGCGCGTTATCGATGGCTGCCCCCTTTTTATGGAACAGTCTTCCTCTGCCAATAAGACAGGAAACATCAATCGACTCTTTTAAACGCTCTGTTAAAACATATTTATTTAAAAAGGCTTTTAGTTAGATTATTTATTTATTTATTTATTTATTTATATATTTATTTATTTTTAAATATTGTAATTTTACCGGGTAATTTTACTGGTTTTTAATTTAGTTATTAATAATATTGTAATGCGCTTTTGAGTATTTTTATAGAAAAAGCGCAATATAAGTATTAAATATTATTATTATTATTATAGTAAGACTGAAGAGAGCAAAGAAACAAGCCTTGAAATAAGAAACTACCCGGTAATATGACCACTCAGTTAACACAGCCAAACGTCTATGACCGCAAGTGGCCGTTTTATCAGGGAATAATACCTTTTTTTTACTGACAAGATCACGAGAAAACTCTAAAACAACCTTAAATAAAAGCAGATGCATAGCATAAGGAATATTGTCTCTCTAATATCCTAATATATAATGAAGACTGCCTCGGACTATTGAGAAAAAAAGTTGATCTTCTTTCAGTTACATTCTTTCACTCACACCAGACAATGAATGTCGGTAAGCCTTGCTTCTTATTATGAAATAAAGCATGCATTATATTTCTGTAACAAGATCAAAAGTTTTTATTGTTTTGAAGATAATGTTTCATTGCTTATTTTGAAAGATTTTCCGCTGTACCTGAGCAATCCACCAGCTATTTCCATGACCGCCTGATCTAGACCATGTCAAAAAGTACGTGGGCTTTCCAAGAACCATGCGTTTTATACGGATGTTAAGTGTCCCTATGTGGCTTCCGTACATGTGGTACCAGAACTGAAGGCATTTTCCCTTTGTTGATGAATATTTGGGGCTTATAAGCATTGCCTTGTCTCCTGGCCTTCTTGGAGAAGAGGTTTCAATGTACATGTAATAACCTTTCGCTGTTCCATAGGTGTGGTCATTTGCGGGGCCAGTCCCTCTGCTTGATGTTGAACCACTTTGGCGAGTCCAATCAAAGTCATCAGCACTAAAACATTACCAACAAAAGAGACACCGGGTTTATTACCAAAGAAAGGAACTCAACCAGAATTTAAACATAATCGGCTTTATCTAAACAGACATTTCTATTAATTTACAAAAGACAGACCACACCTCTAAAACGTATATTCTGAGATCAATTCCTACGTTTCTGGGAGGCAGTGTGGCTGGGTGGTTATGTCTCTGGAATTATAATAGGGGAGGACAACCCGAATTCAATCCCCGCCCCAGTGGCTAGCTAGCTAGACTTGTTCCCGGTATTCCCGAGTTTAACCCTTCCATTGCGCTTGTAAACAGGAAACTGGTTTCGGCTCCGGCCAGTTGGGATTTCTAACCTAGTACAAAATTGAGCTATGTTTTTTCAACCATTTTTTTTACCCCAATGAAGTCAGTTACTTTTTTTTTTCCAGTTATTTTTTGGAACACCTCTCTAAAACAACCATGCACAGAAACGTGTTCTATTCATTTAACGCAAATTGATTGCAAGGACAAACTGGTGAAAATGATTCGAATGAAATTGCACTGTTATTGTTTTGCGGAGTGTAGGATTGCATCTATAAAATGTTAAAGAAAAATGAAGAGGAGTGGCTTGGATATCAGGATGTTCCTAGGAATTAGGCATTAAAGGCGGTCAAGAGAGAATGAGCTCTCGAGGCGGTATTGCAAACTTTGACATACCAAGACGATGGCGTAGTTGGGTAAAAAGTGAACCTCAAGCTCTTTTGCTACAGATATTTCGACTTGTAAGGCTAGGCCAGAATAGAGAGGAGAAGTGTCACGTCAAGTTACCATGGTAGCCAAATTCTTGATTACAACAATAGGGCCGTGATTAAGAAACGACGACGGCGACAGTAACGAGAACGGGAAAAAAAACCGATAGGTTTAGATTAGCAAAACAACAACTTTGCACTTGTATCATGCTCTTTTTGTACATTTCTTAGCCGTCTTTGCGCGACTGCGACATGAGACTTCCTAATTTCACGCACCAGCGTTACTGAGTAGGTTAACACAACACAAGTTTTTTTTTTCGTTTTTCAAACTCAGAGACGGTCCTTTCGGATTTAAAAATCCAGAAAATTTCGCCAATATTTGACAAATCAAATGAAACTGAATAAGATCGATGAAGTTTGAAACATTGAGAATTTACTTTCTAAGTGAATTTTCGGTTTGTTGTCAACCAAAATTTTGCTACCATGGCAAAGTGACGTAATGACTTCTCCTCTCCATTGCTTTTTTTAAAAAAATAAGATTTTCTTTGGTTTTTTAGAGTGGAGCTCCGAAGAAGTAGCTCAAAATCATATTGAATAATTTACTTGTTTGTCTTTCATATTAGAAAAGATACATTAGCCCAGCTGATCGTTTAGACACCTTGTCTATTTGTAGCCAGGAAATCGTTTTGAAGCACTAACCAAGTCAGAAAATTCTTGGGATTTACACATTCAAGAATCCTACTCAATGCCTTAAGCTACCTTTATGAATTTACCTCTTGTCATTGGTCCATCCACACATTTTAACATCTTCAAAAGAGCACGCTTTTTTGGGTGGGCAGACGCCATTTTTCATAACAATATCGTCAATTGCTATATCACCTTGATAGCTTGTTCCACGAACACCCTCAAATACAACCTGTTTAGAAAATGAACAGTCGCAGTTGCTATATTTCTTCCCAACACCTTGTGCGGCCACATGACATATAGCCATGTAGCCTCCTACGCAGACGCGTGACGAACCCCTAAGAACGTCTGCGTGGGAGGCTACATTACATCTAACAATAAAACGGTTTGCCGCCAAGACTGTCCGGGTAAGCAACCTTGCAAAGCCTACGTACTGTATTTACTACGTCCTCATTAATTTTCGCTATTTTACTTTTTTTTCCTTGTACATTTTTATTTTCTAGTGGGACTGAAGTACAAAGCTATTACCGGTGTATTCATTTCTCTCGTAAATTTAACTACAACTCCAAACTGCAAGTTTTGGAATAAAACATTTAATACAATTCAACAATCATTTTTTACCTGAACTACTTGCAAAACAAGACATCACGTCTTTACCACATTCGACGCACGTATAAGAAATGTAAAATGTAAAAATATAAATGTTCTAGAAGTTTTAAAATCCTCGAAATATATTTCGCTCTTCGAGCCTCGTCAGTCAACAAAATTTTCATGTAAGATGCACTAAAATAGTCTGGGTGTTCGCCAGTGTCATGTAAGTCAACATGGTGTACTCTAGTTCACGTGGTCACGTGCGACCACGGCGCGTGGAACGCGGAAATAATTCCATTCCTTCTTAGAGCTCATCAACTAGCCTTCCGGTACTTGATCGATCCGAACACCCTCCGATATCTGCCTCAATATGGCGTCGTTGGAGTAAGAACTGGTAACGTTCATTTTAAATTTTTGCATTTCACTGTTGTGTTTCTCGTTACAGTGCTTCCATAAGACTGACCTCTCTTCCTTTTTGGCCAGTGACTTCATGTGTTCTTTTCCTCTAATATACGCGCTCCGATAATATATAGATTTAGCCAGGGCTAAAAGCGAGGCTCCCATTAATATATTTATAATTTAAATCAAACAATAAACTTGTATTCCACAATTCAGTTACAGTCAAACCAGGTCAAGCGTTCCCGTCACTAGCAAACTAATGAAAAATGGAAAAATGATTTCGTTTGTTGATTCAATAATCCATTCATAAAATGAATAATCCAACAATCAAATTGGACCTCGATTCAATAATTAAATGTTGATTTGGTTTATTAACAAAATCTACCTGTTCTTTATTCTTCTCTATTGAGTTCAATCGTATTTGCTTCCCTTTTCCTGCCGTTTACGATTGCGTTTGTAATTGCTTTTAATCAAAACAACAGCTAGAAGAGACAGACCGCAAACGCAAAGAAACTGACAAAGGCCGGGGATCGAAATCCACCAATCACCGCACATACACTGACCTTCGTTTCACTATCGTGTTTCCTAAGAGGTCAGGTCCGTTGCAGTGAATACTGGAAACAAAATGACGTACATGTAACAGTTTGTTTGGGTTTGAAATTCAGAACTCGCCCGACCTCCACTCTAAGAAAAAAAGGAGAAAAAAAGTGTAGTTTTTCTAAAAACAGTAATCGAATCAACATTCGATTATGAAATCGAGGCTAAATATGAATATGGGATTGTTCATTTTATGAATGGATTATTGAATCAATAAACGAAATCATTTTTCCGTTAATGAATTTATTAGTTCGTTAGCGACGGGAACGCTTCACCTGGTTTGACTGTAACTTTAGAGCACATAGCACATTCATGTGACTTTTGAGGGAAAGGCTAAGTGATTTTAGAGAAAAATAATTTGCAAACAGCCCAAGAGTGAGCCAAATCTTACATCGAGTGGATATCCTCATATGTACACCCAAAAAATAGCAATCATCTTCGATAACATTTAGGAGCCAAAATGGCTCTTGATCACCGTAAGATTAATTAATCCTCGAAAAAAAATCAGGCCGAATTTTTTTGCTTTCGACAAGTTTACTTTACAAAATCTTGTCAACAAATCCGAGTGCATGTAAACCAACCTTTTATACCATTTATACATCACATCTGAGGTGAAACAGTACCATGAGGTACTGTTTCTATCATACAGACCTCGGACATAATGCAGTATTTCACAATTTTGCAACACAAATTGCACTCATTCAATATTCAGGACGATCGAAGCACCCGTGGGCTTTTTAAACCGTTAAAAAACTTTCCAAAATCACATATACGGCCAGCCAGTTCTCACTTTTGCAGTGCGAGCTGTAGCGAGTGTTTGAACGAACATACTAGAGTTAAGCTGCAACATAATAAGAAAATTATTATGTTTATTCAGTTTTATTAAATGGTTTTATCCATGTGTAATCTTTAAAAGCGCCGGTTTGATACGCGCGGCATTTTGAGTACTCCTACAAGCGATGTTCAATGAACGACTGAAAACAAACGGCACGGCGATTAAAATTACAAGAAAGACTACCAACAATCAATAAAAGAAATATAATTCGGTGAAACATATACAAAGACAACATTTTTCATTCACGAAGACAAGTTGTAAAGTGTCTCTAAAAGTCCTGAGTCTTCAAGCTTAAAGCTTAAGTTTATGTTTTAAGCCGGCTTCCCGGTATTTACTTTTTTCAAAGATCATGAACTCGAGGCAAGAAAATCGCTCAAAGCTTTCTTTTACAGCCAGAATTAAAACTAAATGTTCTCTGGAACGTTTTCTTTCTATTTGCGTTAAGAAAATGTAAGGCTTTTTAAAGTTCTGTAAGCTTATATCAAACCTGATTCTTGGTCATATCAAATTGTCTCAAATCTTACAAACGTGCATAAACTACATAGCCGCATAAACTGCGCTCGACTTCATAAAATTAGATATAAAATACGAACATCAAACACAATAATTACTGAGGCTTACCATTCGAGATGCAGCTCCTGAAAGGTATCAAGGAAGGCTAGTATCGCTTCAGACTTTTCAACCCTTACGCATCAAGCAAGGTGAAAAGCGAAATCGATGACATCCGAAATCGGATTTCCGACTTTGACAAGTAATGTATTAATTTCTCAACCAAAAACCAACTAGCCATGAATAACAGAAGACTCCTAATAGCAGCTGAATTTCATTTTGTGCATCCAGTGGAAAAAGACAGTTAAAAACATTACAAGTTGACACAAAACTCTGTCAGCTTCAGCTGTCAAAGTAAACAAGAGTCAAGATGCTGCCTAAATTTTCCGCATGAGCTCACCTGTCAAGTTTTGACCAATCAGAGCATAAAAATTGGACGTAGAGCGTGACCAACGCGTGACCATGGTGAGCAAAGTCAAAAGCAACTGCCTTCCCCACCTGTAACAGCTGGCTGAATTTTCGCGTCCGAGATCAGTTTTAAATCAAAATTTTAATTGTGCGGCACAAACACAAAACATATTTCATATGAACTGAAAACAATCAAACTTGAGCCTGCGATCATTTGAAAACTAGTAACTTGTCAGCGGATAACTTCAAAAAATACTCGACCTCGATGGGTCAACACCTGAGCCCGCAATACGGTTAAGTGATACTGGTCAGCGGATACCCTGTTTTGACAGCTGTCAATTGATCACAACATTGATGTCCAATGGATGTGTGCATTATCAGTTTTCCTGTGCTCTCAAATTAGCTACCTAGAAAGTATGAGATTGAACAGTGATTGCGATCTAGTAAAACAACTGGTCAGCGGACAGCTTCCAAATAAATCACGTCACCTTGATGAGTTGACACACGAGCCCTCGATATGGCAATGTGATACTGGTCAGTGGCTATCCTGTTTTGACAGCTGTCAATTGACCATATTGTGAATGGCCAATATAAAAGACATGGGTTTTCCAAGACACACCTGAGACACCCCTCCCTTCCTTTTGATAGTCTCCCCTACCCTACCCGTACAATCTGTAGACGCGTACGTACGTACGAACGCTCTGTCAGTCACGTGACAACCAAACGAAAAGAGGTTGACTGTATTCTATGAGTATGGGGCTCTGTCCAACGCGCGCTTCGCGCGCGAGGGAGCCCCGCTATAAATGTCATTACACTCAGTACATTTTATGTCATAAGTCACGCACTGTCTATCAAACGGTCCTTTTCCATCTTCTCTACACACTGGCCAATCCCCTCTTTCACATTTTCGTGATTTAAACGGATCAGACCTCTGGAGTAACTTTTTAATCGCAACACCAGCTTTTTCTACCACTCTGATTTTGAAACCTTGTCGCTAGTAGTCGCTCGTGACCACGTGAAATAGAGTGACCATGTTGGCTTACATGACACTGGCGAACACGCAGACTATTTTAGTGCATCTTACATGAAAATTTTGTTGCCTAACGAGGCTCGAAGAGCGAAATATATTTAGAGGATTTTAAAAATTCTGGAACATTTATATTTTTACATTTTACATTTCTTATACGTGCGTCGAATGTGGTAAAGACGTAATGTCTTATTTTGCAAGTAGTTCAAGTTATTCGAACACATTCTCTAGTCTGGGCATTTACAATTTCTCAAAAATCCTTTTTTAATTGATCAATAAAAACCCACCTGAAAACGGGTCCTGATATTGACTGTGAGGGCAGCCTGAAGCCACTTGTCTCCACGCGTCCCTGTCTTTGACCACAACAGGGTGTCTTTAGAACCACTCCTGACATACACTCTGAGGGCATTGATGTGTGCTCCATACATGTGGTACCAAAAGGACAAACATTTTCCGCCACCAGCACTGCTGCCGGGGACGTTTGCACTTACAAGCTTTGCTGCGTCGTTTGGCCTCCTCGGAAAAGATGTCTCGATAAATATGTACCATCCACTTGCTAAAAGTATGCAAAAACACATTTCGGAGCTTTTAATATTAGCCGGGGGGTGGGGGGCGACGATAATCCAGCAAGGGACCATGGAAAGAGTAAAGAAGGGAGGAGAAGTTCTCCTTCCCGCCTTCCTTTGAGGGAAAAATTTCATCGAGAGAGAGAGGTCTGGGTAAGAGACAATGTCGTTCGTAAGGCTGCAGGCGTCTTTACGATCAAGCAAATCATTGATTTTAAAAAATTATATAACAAGAAGATAGAGACGTGTATTTAATACCTAGATTACAATGTTAGTTGTGTTTGATGACCTGTGAAAGAAAATGGAAATACTTCGCTTATATTCCAGTAAAAAAAAAATGTCACTAATTGATTGTTATGTAACAAGGTGACCATCTAACAGAGGTAAATTACAATGAAACTAGTTCTTTGGGAAATCCGTAAGGAGACCGCTTCAGCTTAATAGAGGTGACCGTTGAAGAGAGGTCAAATTTGCAGTAAACGTGGGAAGCAACTATCGGGAAATTGATAGGTGACCGCTTAATAGAGGGTGACCGCTTAATTGAAGTTTGACTGTACTTACAATTGCCTGTTGTGTGATCCACGGAGGGTCCAGTTGAGGATGAAGCTGTTGAACCTGATTTCCGAGTCCAGTCAAACTGATCTGTTTTGTCTTGAGTCCAAGTGCAGAGGTTGCTTTCAAAGTTGCAGTTGATGCCAACATTTGCTAGTAATTATAAAAGGTTTTTTTTTTCATAAATTGTCTAATATTTAGCTATTAAATCCTCAACAAAGATACAGGTCAAGCAGGTAAGCTTTTCGGTTTAATTATCGCATAATTTACCACTTCAGTAATTAACATGACTTTTAATCTGCCAACATACGGTAAATGAAGTAATTATTTAATTACCTATAACCCCCTGTAGTTCTTCCTGCTTCCATTCTACAGGATCTCATCACCACATCACTTATACTCCTTGTTCGCCCCTCAAATGTTTGCAAGATTCAAGTTTCAAGTTTTAAACAGTATTTTTAAAATAAAATTTACAAAACTGCTGTACAGGCAAATAACAGGGCTTATCTGGGCGGACACGTGCTTTCCTCCGAAAAATGTTTCTAGGGAGTCTTCTAGTTGCTGTTGACTCATGGAAAGAAAGTTTTACGGTGAAAGCGTGCTATTCTTCTTCGATCGATTTAATTTATAGGCCAGAACGTCGTCAGCTTAATAGGTTTGCAAATCATATTATAAGATGAATAGGTATGCAAATCAATTTTGGCATCTCCTAGAACACAGAACTTTCAGATGTCAAGAATTTAAGCTCGCCTGTTAGTAAGCAAACGCAGCGGAGTTTTGAATTCATACAAGGGCACGGGAGGCCGTTTATGACCGGCGTCATCCTTACTTGCAAATGAAAATTGAATGGCGTTTAAATGCATTCCTTATCATCAATAAAGAGCGAGGTTCGTAACATCACTAAAGTTCGCCTTATTGTATAGCTTCAGCAACAGCCATCTGGTAGCGGGCCATGGACCAGGCCCTTGGAAGGAATATTATGGCAGACTGCACTATTGAAGAATACCCTGAGTCTGGTAGCGTTTTTGAGGAGCTCTGAGAAATTTTTTAGCTTGAAAGCCAACCGCGAGAGCCTCGCAAATTTCTAAGGGGGATTCGTGTAGTGTTTGGGACATGTCATATCGACTGAAGAACTGCATCAATTTCTCAAGTAAGTAAGGACCACTGCTGAGATGACAAGAGCTCAGGATGCGACATAGCTACTATTTTGCCACTCACCTTGCTCTCCGCCACATTGATCAATGTAGTAGGAAGAAGCAGCTATCTTCAGATTGATTAAGGATGTCAAGACAAAGCTCAAGTGCACCCCAACCCTGATTTGCTGGTTTTAGTCACACTCTTCGTACGATCTGGTTGCCGTCTTGTCAGACCGCACACCAGAGGAAGACGAACGACCTATCGCCTATGTATCCTGGTCTCTGAAGGTACCAGAGACGAAGTACTTACTAATAGACTTCGAGAGTAGCCTTATATCCCTGGTGTGGGGCAGGAAGAAGTTCCAAGCCTACTTTATTCCGCTTACTGACCATCTGCACTAAAATACATACTGAACCCTCGAAAAGCGGTTCCAGACACCAAAGAAACAAGGTTTCTTTTCTTAGGTACTTTCTCATACATTGAGTTCCGAGAGACCAAGCAGCACGCTGATTTTAATGGCCAATCACTTTTACCCCGACCCCGACCACAGTTCCCGAACTACGAGCCCAACAATTTGGAAACGATCCATGCTTCATTGATTTCCACCCTTCCATTCACTGATGTAGTCATCAAGAGCTGTGACTCCGTGTTTTCTCAAATTCAAGAGCAAAGATCACCGTGCAAGGGAAATATCCGTTCACCCTAGAGTTCTTATTTAGAATTATTGTAAAATAAAAAAAATATTGTAAATATGTTGTCCCAAAATAATATCAAGCGAATTATAATGAAAACTTATCAGTACAATTAGATCAGTGTAATTAGCAAAGCAATATTTCTCGATCAAATACTTATTTTCATCATATTTGTATATAGCGATTTTTATTAAATATTTAATTTTTACCAAGTGATATCTATAGATTCAATGAACTATAGTTGAAAAAATATGTTTAAATAAAATTATATCAACAACTTTTATAATAAAAGTCGAAACCTTTCAAATTTTGTCAGAAAAGGGGTTGGCTTAAAAGGACTCAATTTAAAAATAAAAATGAGTTCGCTCCGCCAATATATAATAATAGGGGGGCGTTTGTAACTTACCCATTACATGCCCGAGGAGAGCGAGAAAAACTGCTCCTCGCATTTTAAAGGAACACATTTTTTGTTTCGCCAATCTCCTTCTGGCTTTTCTGGTTTTTAACTTGTTTCTGTCAATGCCAGCGAGTTTCAGGCCACAAGAAGCACGCTCTGGGTAAAGAATGTTTAATTGCATTTCAAAATTACACTTCAAAATTAACAATTAACAAATAAACGTTTCATGCTTGAATGAATAACCGGCCAATAACCCATATGTACCCATAAAAGTGTTTTTTTCTCCCTCTTGTTGTCACGTGCGTAGGAGTGGGTTAAGGAAACAAATTCCGCATTATCAGTTATGCTCAAAATATGAGCTTAGTCTGCACCGTCTAAAAGTATGGATGCAAGTGTTGTTATAATTCATTTACACAACTCATTCAATCTTAAAGTAAACATTCTCGACATTCATGAGTACAAAACAGATCATCAAATGCAACTGTGCTCAAGGCTGTTACTAAGGGTCAGGGGCCGGGAATTTCCCCCGGGTACGACCATGACCCCGCCGGCTACTTTAAAAGGTAACAAAAAAAAAATAAGATGCGTTTTCAGCCACTGACAGGATCTTTTTGGGTTTTAAAGAAGATCTGCAAAAATAGGCGGCTTGGCAATCGAGTGCGGAAAGCAGTTTTAGGCTATAATTAACTCTGTCGTCTTACCCCTTTCCCAACGAAAAGGAGGCTTAAAGATCCTTAAATTCCTGGAACGTCAACTGGCTACTGAGCCGGTTGCCTGAAATTAATGACGTGTAATAAAAATCCTGAAGTAGCATAGCACTAAAGTCAAAGACATTTTATCCTAGAAGTGTGAACTGCAATTTGCAAAAAGTGGTTAATGGAACAAAGCCCAACAAAATTTAATGGTCGTTCCCTGTTAACTTGCGAAACGTGAACACTAACGTTGTTATGTTAACCTTTTCAAATCGGCGCATGCTGTACCAGGCGTCAATTTGCACCAATTATAGTGAACTAAATTCTGTTACCAAAGTTTGAAAAAACTTGAATGACATAACTTTTCATCGGACCAGGTTAGTGTTTTCTGCCCGTAAGATCCACAAACGATTACTGATGCATTTTCGAAATATCACACTCTCTCGATCCAAGATCTGTTACAAGGTAGTCGCAGACTTTGAAACCAGGGCTTTGAAAATATAAAATTGTCTGATAAATTAAGGCAGTAAGAGGTTCATCACACTAAGAAAGTACATTCTGCAGGATCCCTGGCTGCAATGCCCTCATACGGGAAACTGCCTAAAATCAGGGACATTAGTGTTCTCCTTTCAGGACCGTGGAAAACATTTCGCATAGCGTTGAGATTGATTTTCTGTTGAGTAGAGTGATACTAAGTAGTACACAATAGTTGGGCTGCCATGCAAATGTGTGAGAAAATAAAATGTGGCTGCTAAAATGAAGTACCTGTTTGGATTTCCAGCAATCTATGGAAAGACTCCGCCGATATATGTATATATAAGCGCTGTAGAACGTCTTACTCTGGACGCGGAACAAAATGATTTGCAACACGTCTTTCGGGAAGCCCGTATGGTTACGGAAAACCTGTTTAAAGGAAACCCAGATGCATGCAGGCCTGGGCATAGAGCTTGTATTTACATCCGCACAATCGTATTGGATTACAGTGACACTAGGGAGACTTAAGCTATTACTAACTTGCCCTTCTCTGTTATGTCATCCAATTTTGCAAATTGTTTTCCATCCTTTCTAGAACGCCTTCCTATGTTTATCGATATTAAAGAATTTGATCCTTTAGCAACACAGAGGTACTTCTTGTCACGTTAAGAAGGCACTTAAATCAAACACTTTCTTTTTATTTGTTGTCGAGTAAGGGTTTAATAGTTCGTTACATCCGAGAGCTGAAAATTTCCTTCTTTGGTCGCGGAAGATGAATAACTTGCAAGTAGTAGAGGGTAGCCCCTGTTACGCAGTACCGTTCAAAAAACCTAGAAGAGGAACAGGTCTGAACACGAAGTAATAATACGTTTGCACAATCGTATTGGATGAAAGAGGTACACGAGAGGTCATTCCCTTCCACTTGAACATAACTACGTTGGTCTCTTCGTTATGTGACCCATTTTTTTATTGTCTTCTGCCTTTTCTTGAAAGCCTTTCTGTAAATACGCCCGTATATATTATTATAGTAACGTCACGACAGAATATGTCAGTTTATTAGCAGATCGTGATAGTTTAACGTTACCTGTGAAATAGATAGTTATTACATTCTATTTTCATCCCTTTATTTTGTCTAATTGCAACTTTTTGACACTAAAAGTTGAATACTGTTTCACGGGTCAAGTAATGCCAGTCTATTATGAATATTATAGACTCCAAGTGATAAGTCGCTTGAGTAATCGAAACTTCCGCGAGTCAAGCACGTACAGTCAGGCTATTCTTACTTTTACTTATACATATATTTTTTACCAAGTTGGCCAAAAAAACTGACATTACGATCTACTGATTGTAGACGTTGTAATTTGAGGTGTAGTGCCCATTACTGACTTACTTCACCACGGGCTGGTGTTTTTGCAGTTTTAGCCTCCGCAGCGAAGCTACAGGTGAATTTTTGTTTACATTTTTTTGCCTCATTAACGTATGTCTTAAAATAAACTCTCTAAATATTGAAAGAGTATTCCAATTTCAGCAATCTGTGAAAATGTGACCTCGATACACCGAATAGTGTCGAAGAAATCATCTTTAAAACCTCAAACTTTATTAAGAATGTATCAGGTTCATTAACGTTAAGGCCAATCAGAAATTTCACGGTTTTCGATGGCTACTACTTAATTCCTTCCTTATTGCTTACAAAGAGCTGAAAATTGCACAATCAACCAACTCTTTCATCAACTGAATTTAATTTGTAAATACGGCAACGCTTTCTATGGGCTAACTCGTTGCCTAATGAGCAAAAATTCAAAGACAACCGTAACCGGGAGCATAATTGCACCACTGTACTTAAAACAGCATGGATTTAGGAGCGCACAATAACAAAAACGTGATAAGGGGTGGTAATTTTTTTGTTCTGCTTCTATTTTTTTAACGTAGATGATCCAATATGTATAAACATGCACTTTGTTTTCGATGGTTTTATTGGCTTCGAGCCTTTCGTAAATATATCGTTTAAATCACAATAAAGGTTTCAAAAACACCGTCTGATGGTCAGAGGGCAATAAAAATGTGAGAATTGGCATATAAATAAGCTTCCTTTGACAGTTTGGGAGATCATTTCCACATAACAGAAATAGTAACCGTTCCAGTGTGGACCCTTGCGGGACTCCGCTAATGATATTATCCGACGCAGGGAAATCATTATTGATCAAGCATTGTTGTTTCCTGTTTTCAAGGTAGGATTGAACCACTTTGGGTCTAAACTGGGAACTTTTCAACTTGGCACCAATCATCATCACTTCCGTTCCCTTGGCCGCGCGCGCACTGCAAAGTTTTAATTTGTTATTCGCGGCGCATACAAACGTTGCACCGACTCTAACCTGCATGTAATTCTACTGATCAAGGCCCAGGCCCCAAACGTTATTAGGAAAGCAATTCCATATCGTAAAACACGCCACTTTTGTTCCTACTTAATTCTTTCAACATTTCCCTCAAGCAGAAAAGAGCGCGAACCCTCCAGGGTTACCCTGTTTAAATATTTTCGTATGAAAACTGTTGCTTGAATTCTATTGGCTCGGAGCAGCCCATATTTATTGCTTAACGTTGCTCTTCCAACAACAAAACGGTTCGATTTCTAGGATCTTGTAATCGGTTGCAAGTAAGAAAGTGAGATAAAGAATTAACGTAAACCGTAAAGAAGATCAACCGAGACTCAACTTCTGCAGTTGCTACGATGATCTTTCTTGCGCTGAACTAGGTGATAACTTGTTGTATTTACATGGCAGTAACACTTCACAGTATTGCAAAAGCATATCTTTAGTAAATGAAAACAAAACAAGGCCGAAAAACGTGCTATTAAGTGGGTATCAAAACGATATTTATAATTTTATCGACTCCAAACTTAGTAGTAAAGCTATGCCTTTTATTATAAGTAGCCTTTAGAGTAATAAGGTCGCTGATATGGTTTGAAATCATCTTGAGGTTACAATAAATAGTGTAATTTAAAGTTCGTCCCATCAAAGGCAATAGAAAACAGCCACTCTTGGATTCTGGTTTCCAGGTACTTGATTCCTGATTACCCTGTTTAAATATTTTCATATAAAAACTGTGCCAATAACAAAATGCTCGAATTCGATTGGCTCGTAGCAGCCCATATTTATTGCTTTACTTTGCTCTTCCAACAACAAAACTGTCCGATTTCCAGGATCTTGTGATCGGTTGTAAGTAAGAAAGTAAGATAGAAAATAAAGATTTTGTTCATGCTTAGCGTGCGTTTATCGAATTAGGGATACAGGCGGGAAGTTTGGAGAGCACGAAAGATGCGTAAGAGTCCGAGAGCAACGCTAGCTTCTTGGGTGCTCTCTAAACTTCCCAAGTGCATTCATAACTTGATCAAATTCTTTTATAACATAGCTGAGAAAAATGGTTGCTTTTTGATTAACTGTAAAAATTCTTGTAATGCGCGAAAAACAATAACAAACGCTTCTATTGGCTGGTTACAAACACGCCACAATCGTCTCTAGTTTGAATGAAGATTCTTTCTGTATAACTAAAAAAGAAAATTTGCTCATTTATTTTTGTCACAAAATAACATTACGATAAAATGCAACTGATTATAGACGTTGTAATTTTGAGGTGCAGTGCCCATTACTGACTTATTTGACCACGGGCTAGTGTTTTTGCAGTTTTAGGCTCCGCAGGGAAACTATAGGTTAATGTTTGTTTGCATTTTTTTGCCTCATTAACGTATGTCTTAAAATAAACTCTCTAAATATTGAAAGAGTATTCCAATTTCAGTTATCTGTGAAAATGTGAGCTCCATATACCGAGTAGTGTCGAAGAAATCATCTTTAAAACCTCAAACTTTCTTCTTCAATTTAGTCCTACGAAAAATTTTAACTGGTTTGAGCGGAAGGGTTCACCATCCTAACAGGAATAGTTGCATCAATAGAAACCTTT